TACTTGCTTTTCTTAGATTTAGGGGCCTACTCAAAACAAATTCTGGTTTTATAAGAATTCTGTTTTCATTTTCCTGGGAACTAATTGTCCACATTCTTTCTCGCCTAGAGTATCACAGTAGTAACCACTTCCCCGGAGGCCGGGTTTCCGGCACCCTCAGCCCCTCAGTGCGTGGCTGCTCCCCCTGTAGTAAGCAGAGAAGGCTTCTGGCCCCCAGTGGCAGGGCTGCCCAGGCTCTCACGCAGACCCCCGATTGTGAATTTAAGGCACAGTGAGAGGTGAGGGAGGGGAGGCCCCTGAGAGCCGAGTGGCCCAGCTGTCAGGGTGGCTCCCCGAGGGGTCTCAGACTCTGACCCGGGAGACAGCAAAGTAGCATTGCCCAGTCATCCAGAATAATGAAAGGGTAAATCCCAATTAAATACTTCAGAGGAGGTTCATACGTTTTAGAATGATCTCTGAGTAGCATGATGAAAGCTTTGTTATTACAGTGCTAAGCTTCCGTTCTGTGGCAGTTTACATACATGCAGCTGTGGGATAAATGAGATGTACGGGGGTCAGCAACCTTTTTCTGCAAAGGGCCAAACAGTAAGTACTTTAGGCTTTGTGGGCCGTGTATGTTTCAAGTACTCAACTATCCTTTAAGCGTGAGAGCAGCTGTAACAATACATAGGCATATGGGTGTCCCAGTAAAACTTTATTTAGAAAAACAGGGCCTGGTTTGGTCCCAGAGCCATAGTTTGCTGATCCCTTCACTGGAAGGGTAAGTGGCCTGCATTGATTTACTTTGTTTTTTGTTAAGTGAACAGATAACTGAGTGACTGCTGTTTATAAAACACTGTACTTGAAAAAAAAAAATCATCACATAATGGTTAAAATATTTGTGGTTTTAAACGTACATACTTGAGCTCGCTGGGAAATTCAGTCATTTTGAATACCTCACGGATATCAGATAAGTTACTGCCGAATGTTACGTCTTAACTGAGGTTCTTGATTTGAAGGCCCAGCCATTGAAAATACCACCTTAGCCATTCCACATTTAGAGTTTTTACAGTGTAGTTGTACATTTGGGTAATTGTTCTTTCAGAAAGTTACCAGCTCCATAACATGTTTTCACAGGTCTGAAAAAGAACCCCAGTTTAAGTTTATCTACTTCAACCATATGAATTTAGCAGAAAAAAGTACAATTCACATGAGGAAAACACCCAGTGTGTCACTTACGTCTGTTCATCCAGATTTAATGAAGATTCTGGGTGACATCAACAGTGATTTTACAAGGTAATTCTAACCACCTCACCAGTTAGGCGTCCACTTTCTAATAAGAGGACATTAAAGGAATCATCTTCAAAAACCGAGTGACCCCAGGCCCCTTCAGAGGTCTTGACTACCTCCCTGGGCACCAGTTCCAAACATCATTAAGCCCAGAAGGGGCTGGTCACTCACAGGGGACTCCCTGAACTTTTCAAATGGCTCAAGTTTCCTGTTTCTTGTTTTAGAATGTTTTTCACAATCCAGCTGTATATATAAAATAATTGAGTTTTGAAACTCTTTTCTTACAGAGTGGATGAAGATGAAGAAATCATCGTGAAAGCAATGAGTGATTATTGGGTTGTTGGGAAAAAGTCTGACCAGCGGGAGCTGTATGTTATTTTGAATCAAAAAAATGCAAACCTCATTGAAGTAAATGGTAAATAGGGTTTGGTATTTGAGCAGAATTTTAATGCTACTGATATTTAAAAACTATCTTTTCAGTGTACTAAGGACATGCTAAATAGAAATCATGACTTGAGATTTTAAGCAGATGCCCCTGTTGCTTAAAAGAAATCATCATTTGGTCTATTCAGGAGTGGGACAGTGGGGCAGTGCACCCCAAGTGTCAACTGTAAGGACAGTCAGGTGTGAGGTTTCTTCTGCAGACATCTTCTGGGGTGTATTACATTTTTCTCTTGATACCAATACTTGTATTAATAGTCTATGCATTAGAAACAACCTCAGGGAATACATGCCTCATTTATTTATTTATGGCTGCGTTGGGTCTTCGTTGCTGCGCCGGGCTTTCTCTAGTTGTGGCGAGTGGGGGCTACTCTTTGTTGCCGTGCGCAGGCTTCTCATTGGAGTGGCTACTCTTGTTGCGGAGCACAGGCTCTAGGTGCGTGGGCTTCAGTAGTTGTGGCACGCAGGCTCAGTAGTTGCAGCTTGCGGGCTTTAGAAGAGCGCAGGCTCAGTAGTTGTGGCACACGGGCTTAGTTGCTCCGCGGCATGTGGGATCTTCCCGGACCAGGGCTGGAACCTGTGTCCCCTGCATTGGCAGGCGGATTCTTAACCACTGCGCCACCAGGGAAGCCCCTACATGCCTCATTTAAAACAGGAATTGAGTAAAGTCCAGATAATGACGCCACCGTTGCGGAGCTCCCGATCCACAATTCAGGGTTGCAGCTAGAGTTTCTGTGTTTTTGAATCAGATTCCTCAAGATTTTAGAAGTTGTGCTCCTCACGCCCCAACCCGCGGGTGTCTTAGACACTTTGGGTTTGAGCTGTCTCAGGCCCAAAGAAGCAATGTTACATAGTGTTAAAGTCTCCTGTACGTCAGGTCCTTTTTTCTTTCTCTCGACTTAACATTTCGTATCAAGGCTTCTGAGATTTAAGGTCAAAATTAATGCAGACCTTTATTTATGACCAACTTTACTCCAGGGAATTTAAGGTACTGATATATAACCTTTTAAGTGAGAATTTCTATACCTTACTCACCGTTTTCTATTCTTTTTGCAGAAGAGGTCAAGAAGCTTTGTGCGACGCAGTTCAATAACATATTCTTCTTGGATTGACTGACAAGGGCTCACCGAAACGTCTTTTAAAAAAACAGCTCAGCAAGCATTTTGTTAACCTTTGCAGGTTATTGGTCATATTATTGACTGGATTAATGACAACAGTAAAGCAATACTTGCTTTGAAGAATCAAATTTCTACTCAGCCTGATGATCCCCTGAGGTTTTTAGATTTTAAATATTTATGTGGAATTAAAGGTAGCCAGCTACATCTCTTTCATTCCATTCTTTTGACATTATGTGACTATTTTACTGGAAAATAAGACTAATAAATTGTTAAAGTTTTTAAAATTCTGGTCTTGCATTGAGTCTCTCTGGTTGCTTGTTTGTAGACCGCACCAGCCATGGGTCCCTGGCTCATCCTCAGGAATACTCTAGCAGCGAAAGGCGCTCAGAGTTCGGATTCCTTCCCTGGTCCCTAGGCCTGACGTGGTAAACTATGAGGCATTTGCCCAAAGTAATTGCTGGACTTGGTTTTTATCTTGAGCAATAATGTGATTTTTAGACCACAAATAAACATCAGACAAAGAACTTAATGCAAGTGCCCCAGTGTGCTCCAAACATAAAGCCACATAGAACTTCCAGGCGGGCACAGCCCCACCTGCATGCTCACAACTGAGATTCAGCCTGGCAGGATTTGATTTAACTTTTGGTGGTCTGGACATCCCAGAGTTTGGTTGAAAACTAGCCGGGCATGGTCTGGAAAAATCGGTACCAACCCGGCCCTAATAGGAGCTCTCCACAGCCCCCTGCACCGAGCCTGTGAGTTAGGGTGGAGCAGGGAAATGACTTCTCATCTATTTGCAGTTATTTTCATTGTCACCCTCTAATTCACAATCTCCCTTACGATTTCCTCTTACCCCGTGAGATACTTAAAATGGTAATGTTTTAGTTTCCAGTGATCTCAGGCTTTCTTTACTGTGTGTTTATTGCTGACTTAGTAATTGCAGCAAAAATAGATCATGGTCTCTGATGTATTATTTGAAGTTGTTGCAGTTTTCAACCTAAAATGTAGTCACTGTTTTTGTCAGTGTTTATCCTCTGTTGCATCCTGGTTGCTAACTCTGTGTTAGTTCCAACTTTGTAGTTTGATTGGTTAAAATTACCTGTATCCTTACTACGTGTGTGTCTTCCTGATCTGTTTCTTCCCTCACGGTAGTATTCCCTGTAATTCTCTCTGCTCTTGCAAGGCTAGTATGTGCGATGTATGTGAGTAATGCATCTCTTTGGTTGTTGGTCCTTTTATTGTTATCTTTATTTTTATCTGTATCATGCAGATGTTTGCTTTAAATTCTGTTCTGTCCTTAATATTGCTTGTTATTCCAGTCATCTTGTTTAGATTGTCCTGGTACATCTTTTTCTATATCTTTATTTTCATCCTTTCTATCTGGTTTTGCTTAAGATGTTTGCCTTGTAAAGAATAACATTGAAGTGAATTTCTATTTTTTTTAAACCCAATCTAATTATTTATGGGATTTTGAAGGGGAGGAAAAGGTGAGTTAACCTGTTTGCTTGGTGATGATGGGTAGATTTGTACTTTCCCTGCCATCTTTTGCGTTTTCTATTTCCATTCTTTTTTTTATTCTTTTTCCCAACTTTATGTCAGATGGTAGTATCCTTCCTTTTTGCTAGTTTGGAAGCTTTAGATTGTATTTTTATGCTTTTGGTGGTTACTCTTATATTTAACACAACTATTAGCTGTAACACTTTCCTAACAGACTTAAAGTATTCACTTAACTGCTGACTGCACACCTGGCTCTTTATCCTACATTGTTCGGCCTTTTGTCCATGCAGTGCTGTTTGCGACGCTGTGGGAATGGATGGGAAAGGACCAGGGAAGAGGCCATGTAAGAGGCAGCATGTGAAGGACAGGTAGGATGTGGGCACAGGGTGGTTACAAGGGGCAAAGGAGGTGTGCCAGGCTCAGGGGAGGAAGGCCTAAAGAAACGTTTAAGCAACTTCACTCCCCACTGGTTTTATCAGATTCTAAATTTAATCATCAGTTTTATACTTGGATTTAAAAAAAACAATGAATACACACTCATTTAATACCCACATCTGTGTATTTTCATTCAGCTCAGTTGTCAAAACGCAGGCATTTCAGTGATCCAACCATATTAGAAACCCAAAACCCAGTGGGCCCAGGTAGTGGTATTTCAAGAAACACTTAGACAAGAAGTAAAACACAAGTAATTTTATTGGGTAGGAAATTTGTTACAGGCTTTGGTTCTAAATTCCCTTCACACCTGCTTGTTCTCATGGCTCATTTACAAACCCAGTGATGTCTACTTTTTCTTTTTCTTACTTGCAATGGATTTGCTGGACTGGGACACCACTGTGTCGTCTTTCAGGAGGCTCGGCATGAAATTCAAGGATGTGGCATCCACTGGTTCCTTGATCACAGTGATGGCGACCTCATAGTCTTGCCTTTTGGTCTCTTCCTCTCTCAAGCTGTTCAGCCTAACAAGAAGCAAACACAAGAAAGTATCTTTTTTTTTTTTTTTTTTTTTGCAGTACGCGGGCCTCTCACTGTTGTGGCCTCTCCCGTTGCGGGGCACAGGCTCCGGACGCGCAGGCTCAGCGGCCATGGCTCACGGGCCCAGCCGCTCCGCGGCATGTGGGATCTTCCCGGACCGGGGTACGAACCCGTGTCCCCTGCATCAGCAGGCGGACTCTCAGCCACTGCGCCACCAAGGAAGCCCGATATCTTTTTTTGTCTTTGAAATTTCAAAACGGGTTTTTATGTTGTATGTGGTGTAAAGTAGTCCATACCTGGATCTCAACAGTTTCTGTGAACAGAACTAAACTGTCATTACTGCCTGAAATAAAAAGTGGTGCAATAGCTAGTTTAAGACAAAGTTTTCACACATCTAAGGTGACTTGTGACACACTTGTCTCTGAAGCAACTTAGATAGTAAGTAGCCTTTTAAAATACTGTTGTAGCCGTTTTCCTTAAGTCTAATGCTCTCTTCCACAGACCAATGGGCTTGAGATGCCCTTTACAGAGATCAGACATTTGCACTTGGGACTGACCTGTCTGCATGGAACTAAGCCTGGACAGTGGTTCTAGAAAGGTAAGTGTGCGGCCTTTGCCAGGTGCTCACCACGCACCAAGCATTGTTCTCGATGCTTCACAAACACTAGCTCACTCAGTCCTCACAACAGTCCTACAAGGTATCATCTCCACCTTAAAGATGCAGAAACAGGCACACAGGGACAGACCTCACCAAGGTCACCCAGGTGATATAAGTGATGGGGCTGGGATGTGAACCTGGGCAGCCTGGATCTACGTCACGCTGCCTCCTCGTGGATGCCTAGGGATGCCTTAGACAACCAGGACAGAACTGGTGGCTACGGGTTCCCAGCTGCACATGAGGACGTGCCGACCTTCGGAAGGCGGAGACTTTTTGTTTTAATATATATTTTTAGATTATTTTATTCATTTTTTTTTTTGGCTGCATTGGGTATTCATTGCTGCATGCGGGCTTTCTCTAGTTGCGGCAAGCAGGGGCTACTCTTCATTGTGGTGTGCAGGCCTCTCATTGCAGTGGCTTCTCTTGTTGCGGAGCATGGGCTCTAGGCGTGCAGGCTTCAGTAGTTGTGGCACACAGGCTCAGTAGTTGTGGCTCGCGGGCTCAGTAGTTGTGCCTCGTGGGCTCTAGAGTGCAGGCTCAGTAGTTGTGGCGCACGGGCTTAGTTGCTCCGCAGCATGTGGGATCTGCCCGGACCAGGGCTTGAACCTGTGTCCCCTGCATTGGCAGGTGGATTCTTAACCACTGCACCACCAGGGAAGCCCAGAGGTGGTAGACTTTTAATGAAAGTGTTTGGTACTGAAGCTTCTGGTGGCTACAGAGGACAGGAAAGAAAGATGCCCAAGAGCCGGGCGGGCGGGCGGGAGGGAGCCGAGAGGTTCACTGAGTTACCTCGCCTCCAGCTCCTCATTCTCCACCTTCCTCTGAAGGGCCATCGCTTCATTATGTAGCCTGTTTTCCTTTACTTTCTCCTTGAGGGTTTCTTCGTGTTTATGTGCTTGGAAGAGAGTGTTCACAAAAAAGATGTACATGTTACTGATCCATGTATTGAATTTTTCCTTTTGTTCATCCTTGGATTTTTCTTTTTCCTCTGGAAGAAAGTTTGATTAAAATGAGCATTAATACAGTCTTGCAATAACTCTGGGGTCTGTGTTCCAGTTCCCCAGTTCTGTCACTTCCTGTGCTGGGCTGAGAGTCCTCATCCCCCCATAAGGCGGGTGACACTGTGCTTCTCGTGGGCTTGTGAGGATTAAGGTAACTGCAAAATGCTTCAGGGACCACCTGGAACAAGGCTGGCGTCAGCTGACCACAGCCATGATTGCCAACACTTCCTTCAAGTCTCCTGGTACCTGTTATTTTTTTCCTAAATAGCTTAAATATTTTGGTTTTCTAAAATTAAAATCTTAGAAAATTTACAAGATTCCCATGTTTCAGAGAAAGAAAAAAACCTCTTGGCTTTTGCATACACTGTCTTTAAAGGCAGTTTTCACTAAGAAAATTTCATTTTATTTTATTTGTTTTGTTTGGCCGTGCCACACAGCTTGCAGGATCTTAGTTCCCCCACCAGGGATCAAATCCGCGCCCTCAGCAGTGAAAGCACAAGAGTCCTAACCACTGGACCTCTAGGGAACTCCAAGAAAATTTTAAGAAGGATTTTAACTCTGAATTGAATAAGAAGTAGGTAAAATTATTGACTTGGTAAGGAGTTGCTTCACATCTACTAAGGCCAGCAGATACACACTTTGGAATGTGTTTCATATAGTTGATTCCAGGAAGACAATGCTTTGGATAGTTCTGTAATATCAATAAGACGGGAACTTTCAAGAGAGCAATTGTTTTTTGACTGTGTCTACAGCTTGGGCTGATCTGCTGTTTGATGGCAGTGATGGGAGAGGAGTATGGGCACAGGTACTCTGTAAACGTAGCATTCTGTGACCAATCTACCCTCCATCCCAGGAGCCACTGTGACGGGCCCAAGAGTGGAAGACTAATGCAGAGAACCTTGATGCTGGTGCCAGATTTTTTTTTTTTAATGTTTATTTATTTATTTATTTATTTAGGCTGCTCTGGGTCTTCGTTGCAGCACACGGACTCTTAGTTGCGGCATGCATGTGGGATCTAGTTCCCTGACCAGGAATCCAACCCGGGGCCCCTGCATTGGGAGCGCGGAGTCTTACCCACTGGACCACCAGGGAAGTCCCGCCAGTGCCAGATTTTACAAGGACTAAGAGAAATGAAAACATATCCATAAAGACTTGCACATCAGTGTTCATAGCAGCATTACTCCTGATAGCCAAAAATGGAAACCACCCAACCGTCCATCAGCTGACGAGTGGATAAAATGTGGTGTATCCACACAGTGGAATACTACTCAGCAATACAAAGGAACAAAATGCTCATATGCGCTACAACATGAGCGAATCCCAAAATGATTGTAAGTGAAAGAAGCAGACGCAAAAGAATGGTTCCATTTCTAGGAAATGTCCAGAAAAGGCAAATCCATGGAGAAAGTCAGTCAGTGGCACCAGGTGGCCCACAGGCACCCCCCGGGCTCCAGGCACCTCACCCACACATACCTCCCCCCTGTGGCCAGCTACCTGCGGTGGTGAGAGTGAGCTCTGGCAGGTGACTAGCGAGCACACACAGAAAGCTGGCCCAAATCTGTGGGCAACGGAAGGACCACAAATTCCAGCTTTAGCACCGACCTTGGGAAAGCAAGGTACATGAAAAGGTGCTCAGCATCACTGATCATCAGGGAAATGCAAATCAAAACCACAGTGAGATGGACTTATATACACTACCAAATATGAAACAGACAGCTGGTGGGAAGCAGCCGCATAGCACAGGGAGATCAGCTCAGTGCTTTGTGACCATCTAGAGGGGTGGGATAGGGAGGGTGGGAGGGAGATGCAAGAGGGAGGAGATACGGGGATATATGTATAGCTTTGTTAGAAAGCAGAAACTAACACACCATTGCAAAGCAATTATACTCCAATAAAGATGTTTGAAAAAAAAAAACAATGAGAGGGAATTCCCTGGAGGTCCAGAGGTTAGGACTTTGCGCTCTCAGTGCTGAGGGCCCAGGTTCAATCCCTGGTTAGGGAACTAAAATCCCACAAGCCACGAGACAAAGCCAAAAAAAAAAAAAAAAAAAAAAAAAAAAAAAAAAAAAAACACCAACTCACACCTGCTAGAATGGCTTGCTTCAAAAAGAAGAGAGATGCTGTCAAGGATGTGGGAAAACAGGACCTTTGTACGGTTTTGGTGGGATTGTAAATTGGTACAACCAGTATGGAAAACAGTATGCGTTTCCTCAAAAAATAAAAAAAGAACTACCCTATGATCCAGCAATTCCACTTCTGGGAATATATCCAAAGGAAATGAAGACACTATGTCGAAGAGACAGCTGCACCATCACATTCACAGTGGCACCATTTACAACAGCCAAGACAGGAGACGGCCTAAGTGTCCCTCAACAGATGAATGGATAAAGAAGAGGTATATATACACAGTGGAACAGTACTCAGCCATACAGAGGAGGAGAGCCTGCCATTTACAACACCATGGATGGACCTTGAGGGCATTACGCTAAGTGAAGTACGTCAGACAGAGACATACAAATACTGTATGATCTCACTTGTAAGTAGAATCTATTTTTTAAAAATACAAACATATAAAAAGAGATCAGATATGTGGTTACCAGAGGAGGGAGATGGGGGACACTGGAGGAAGGTGGTCAAAGGTGCAAACTTCCAGTTACAAGGTACATAAGTACCAGGGATGTAACGTACAACACGATGACTGTAGCTAACACTGCTGAATGATGTATGTGGAAGTTGTTAAGAGAATAAACCCTAAGTGTTCTTCTCATCACAAGAAGAACCGTTTTTGTGTGTATTTATGAGATGATAGATGTTCACTAAACGTATTGTAGCCGTCGTGTCACAATATATGTAAGTCAAGTCATTATGTTGTACACCTTAAACTTACCCAGCACTGTATGTCAATTATATCTCAATAAAACTGGGGAAAGAAAAGGGTTAGATCAATGCCTTGAAAGGGAACTCTGTCAAGCCAGGGGGCAGAGCTGGGAGCAGCTGTCCCAGCCTAATTATATTTTAAAAGATGGTTGTACATTTTTATAAATGTTAAATCATTTATAAGCAACAGTTTGCTAATACCAAAGTTCTATTATTAAAATACTCACCATTTTGAGATAAAAGAAAGGTTCGCTCCTTTCCTGGAGATTTAAAGTTCATTTTGGAAGTTTCTCCATCACTTAGAGACTTCTTTATCTTGGGCTTTTTTTTTTAAAAAAAAAAAAAAAAAAAGAAAAACCACAAAGCAAAATATAACTTCTGCATCATTATGGACTAAAACTAGTTTTCTACATTATAAATAATTAGAAAAGTATTAATGAGGCCATTATCTTTATGCTAATTTGACTATTTCTAATCTGCCTAAAATTTGACTTTTTAACCTGTATATTCGTCCTGTTAAGGAAATGAGTAACAGAGCTATTGTATCTGCTGGAAGGCTTCCCCCAGGAAACCAAAGACTAGAAAATACTCCCTGGGCCTGTTGGGAAAGTATTAATCCATCTCTTAGTGGCTTTAATTGCTATATATATATATGTATATATATATGTAACCATATATCAATACATGCTGTTTACGCCTACATTTTTATCTCCAGTAGATCTCACCCCTGAACTCCAGACTTTGTCTCCAGCTGCCACTTGCTGTCACCACGTGGATGTCTCATCGGGCACCTTAAGTCTGACATGCCCAAACCCAACCCTTTAATTTCACCCCCAAAACTCATCTCCCCCTCAAACCCCAGTCCTCCCCTTCATGATAAATGGCAGCTCTGTTCTTCCAGTCGTTCAGGCCAAAAAAAACCTTAGAATCATCTTTGCCTTCTCTTTCCCTCTCAAACTCCACAGCCTTCAAAATACATGCAGATAATTCCAAGAGCTTCCTTACAGGTTTGTCAACAGCAAAGCCATCGTGAGCCTACTGACCCCCCTTGCCCAGGGCCCCCTCCCGGCCGGGCACTGCCTCACTCAGTGCATCTTCTGGGCCACGCCGACGTGGCTACACCTGCTGCTACACCCCTTCCAACACCCCAGAGGTGCTCCCGCCTCAAGGCCCCCGCACAGGACAGTCTCCCCGCAGCTGCGCTCAAGTGTGGCTTCATCCGAAGACCTTCCCTTCCCACCCAACCCTGTCTCTCAGTCTCCACCGCCTGCCTCGCTTTCCACCGCATCACTGATCCCTCCCAAGTGTAAAGAAGTATAGCACTGCGGTAATGGGTGTAAATCCTGGAGTCGAACTGCCTGCGTGCAAATCCCCAGCTCCACTGCTTACCAGTTCTGTGACAGTGGGCAAGTTACTCGACCTCTCTGTGCCTCAGTTCCCCCTTGGAGCCGATGAAGCACCTACAGGTCGTCTGGGCATTAAATGAGCGGACCCCTGGGAAGTGCGTAGCACCTGGTAAGCACCCCGAGGGTGTTCACTCTTCCTGTTCTTCACGTGTCACCACGTCCCTCTCTCCCCCGGAATGTGATGCCCACGAGAGGACGGGCTTTCTGTTCCCGCCAGAACCCTGGCACCAGAAGAGCCCTCACCACATAGCAGGTGCACAGCAGCAGTAGATACCATGGCCGCGGCACTGTTTTCATGGGTAGCTGTGAATACAAACCTCTGATTGCCTTATCTTGCTCATGTCAAGCAAGACTCCTAACTTGCTTGAAGACGAGTTAGTGCTGCCATCCTGCACCTCAGATTCCTGGCTTCTTAGAGCACTTGGACTCCTGTTCTGGGTGTTCTGATCAACGACAAACACATAAGAGGATTTCTGGTTTCCGTGGAGACACACGTGTATGTGATTTTAACGTGGTATAATTGATTTACAATGACCTGCACATAACGCGCACTATGACGGTGAGTTTCGATGTGTCTACACCTGTGAAGCCATCACCTCAGAGAGTGGACGTATCCATCACCCCGGGTTTCCTGTGCCCCAGGAAGCCCTCTTCCCTCATCCTCGGGCAACTACTTACCTGTTTTCTGTCACTACAGACCACTTGGCATTTCTAGAATTTTACATCATTGGAATCACAGCGGTATGTATCCTTTTCTGTCTGGCTTCTTTCACCCAGCATAATTAATGCACCCATGCTGTTGGCATGTGTTATGAGTTATTTCACTGCTGGCTCATTCCCCGTTGTATGGTTATAATAGGACTTGTTTATCTTGATGGATGTGCGGTGCCAGATTGGAAACCAGACGTGAACTTGATCGGATGGTTTCTGAGGCTGTCCCCGAGGCCAGCGTGTCCGTGTGTGGTTACTGGAGTCCATGTGCTGCCATCCACGCAGGCATGGATGAGTTTAAGGTGGACATGACCCAGCCCCAGCCTGTGGCCAGGCTCTCGGATGACCTGGAGGGGGCGTATCTGCTGATCGGGTGGACTGGGCGCTACTGAAGTTGAACCTGCACGAGGGTCCAAGGCACATCCTGGGACTCGTGGTCAGAGGTGCTCCTTAGATGACCAACAGTGAGAGGTCTCCCTGAGTGAGCAGCTCTGGCGAATTTCCTAGCTGGGGTTTCCGCTGGCCCCCAACACTCTCCCTTGTGGCTCCGAATGAAGGACTCAACGATCAGAAACCCTTCCAGCCCACTACCCTGAAACCCCCGCTCCATCTGACCCAGCGGCTAGATCTTTCGGTCAACGGCCCATGCTGTCCCTGCTCCCCCAAGGCTTTGGCGTGAAGCCCAGTGTCCAGCCCCATGAACAGGTCCTGTCCTCTGGGACGCGCCCAGCATCCTGCACACGCTCAGGAGCTGTTCCTTGGCATCTGTGCTCTGTGACGAGCGATCCACTCTTGTAAACACTAGATCATGGGATGAAACGTTTCATAAAAACCACCTCAGATGCCGTAGGCCTCGTGGTCCAGCCAGGGGAGCCCCACACCCCTGAAGGTGTCAGTAGGCCCTCTGACACTCATTACGCATCTCCACTATCATAGGTCATGACCAGAAAATACATTTTCCCTAATGTAGAAAAAAGACAATACACTCCTTTCAGAATGCGAAAAGAAGTCTTAAATAAGTTATCTCCTGAAGGGTTACAAAAGCCCAAGATAGTCTTGATGATGGTTTAACCATTCCGGAATAAAACCCATTCCTTACTCTGTAAATTCTAAGATATTATTTCTTACCTGATTTATCATTGTATAAGTGCTTCCAGCTTTGTTTCCAGACGAGTCATCATTTGGAAAATTTAAATAGAATTTAGTCGATTGGTTAGTAACAGAGATGAGTGCGAAGCTTAACAGAGCTTCAAAGAATTCCAGGAAAACCAGCTGAAATAGAAGAAAATATAAAGGGTCTTATTCATCCTGACACACCTCGAGGCGGACCAGCAGTTCTTCTGGGTGTTTGTTCTCCAGAAAGTACCACCTTGTTCAACACTCAGGCATCATGGGCGCACACCAGTTTGCAATAAAAACTACAGCATTTAAAAGATCTGTGAGGATGTATATTCTCTCCTTAGCTTGTAAGTCATTTTTCTATTTGCCGGAAACATTTTATTTTATACTAGCTAATTGAGGACAGTCACTTTCAGAAGTATTTCTTTTTTTCTTGGACAACTAGAGAAGTGGCACCTGTTAAGAGTTGGTGCTGAATGGCTAAGCCCTCTGGAGATGCTGGGATAGGGTGAACATATTTTGTACACAAGGAGGATATGAATGGGGGGGGGCGTTGCAAAGGGAAGACTGTTAAGTTTGAACTGTGCCTCCCAAAAAAGAGTTGGAGTCCTGTCCCCCAGTATGCTCAGATTTACAGATAATCGAGCTAAAGTGAGGCCGTTAGGGTGGGCCCTAGTTCAATGTGGCGGCTGTCCTTACAAGAAGAGGGAAATTTGGACCCACAGACAGAAACATAGAAGACAATGTGAAGAGACATGGGGAGCAGACAACCTCTACAAGCCAAGGAGAGAGGCCTGAAGCAGATCCTTCCCCACAGCCCTCAGAAGGATCAGATTCCAGCAACACCTTGATTTCTGACTGTCAGCCTTCAGGCAAGGTATGTGTTATATAAGCCAAAAACAGTTGGCAGGGGCGGAGGTTAGCAAGTACAAATGTCCTGAGGTAGGGGTGTGGTGGGCGTATTCAGGGAACAGCTAAGCGGCACGTGTGACACAGTGTCAGACGTGGACCCAGAGAGGTGGCCGTGCTGGCACCATTGGTGCCAATCCAATCTTGGTGTCCAAGGTAGAGCAAACAGCCTGAGTTGGATCTGTACCGTTCGTGACACCTGTTTACAAACCTCAAGTTTAAAGTTGCTGTCAATTCCATCATGCATGAAAGGATTATCCTCTGCTATGACCTCCACAAATTTGCTTGCTGTTAATTCTTTATTTATCATTTTAAATCTCTGTAAAAGAAACAACCAATCAAATCATAATGGCCGATAATTACAAACAGCTATATATTTTTAAAGTTAGTTTATACCAATACAGCACTTTAAGGAGATGGTCTAGAAATAAGTATCTTAAAAACTGGTAATTTTGAAAAGCATTCTGGATTAACATTGGTATTTACCTCTCTACTCCTTCCCTAATCCCGCTAAGACAACAGTAAAGATTTTTTTAGAGGCATAAACATAGGACAGAGAACGGGAGAATGGATGACCCAGATGTGAGATATCAACACAGCTCTACTGGTGGGAAAGCACTGGACTGATGGGCTTAGCAGAACAAGGAGCTGAGAGCTCCGGGAGGCAAGAGGCAAGTCGAGTCCAGTTGGAACTCAGGAAGGAGTCAGCTCTGAAAGCCGTGCTACAGGTAAGGCTGAACACAGGAAGACTCCCAGAAAGTCTAGGTGAAGACCCTTTCCGCATCTAGACTGAAAACAGAAGGTTGACTCGCTGGAGATACTGAACCACAGTGCATGTGGCTCCCCTAAAGTCACAGTCCTGCTGAAAACAAGAATTAGGGGAAAGTGCACGTTAGTAGGGCCCTCCCTTCACACTGACCCTTCCCTCCACTCTGTTCTAAGAACTATGAAAACCAGGTTCATATCTCCTAGGCAGGAGTTAGGAGAAATCCTCTCCTGGAAAATCGAACATCCAAGAGAAGAGCTCTGTCAACCACAGGCTGGTGGAGGGTCTTCCCTGGCAGTCCAGTGGTTAAGACTCCACACTTCCAATACAAGGGGTTTGGGTTCGCTCCCTGGTCAGGGAACTAAGATCCCACATGCCACGCGCCACAGCCAAAAAGACAAAAGACAAAACTGGGGGCTGGGGAGGAGAAAGGGGAGAAGTGGGGCAGTTTCCTGGCTTGGTTACTCCACAGTGAAACCTAATCTTTGACAAGTGCCGCTCATCCACATGAACTTCCAATCAGCCTTTATTTATTTTATTTTATTTATTTATTTTATTTTTGGCTGTGTTGGGTCTTTGTTGCTATGCTTGGGCTTTTCTCTGGCTGCAGCGAGCAGGGGCTACTCTTTGTTGCGGTGCGCGGGCCTCTCATTGTGGTGGCTTCTCTTGTTGCGGAGCACGGGCTCTAGGCACGTGGGCTTCAGTAGTTGTGGCACATAGGCTCAGTAGTTGTGGCTCACGGGCTCTAGAGCGCAGGCTCAGTAGTTGTGGCACACGAGCTTAGTTTGCTCCGTGGCATGTGGGATCTTCCTGGACCAGGGTTCGAACCCGTGTCCCCTGCATTGGCAGGTGGATTCTTAACCACTGTGCCACCAGGGAAGCCCCCAGTCAGCCTTAGAGTGTCACAGTCCTATCTATGAGTGGACAGCCAAGTTTCACCACACATGCTATGGGGAAAGCCTTAATATAAAAGCCAGAGAACAAAACCAACAGAGGTGGGGAAGGGAGATCTGGACTTGGAAGGAACAGAGGCAATGTAAAAAGCCGAGAAAAAAAAATTCCATTTAGCTCCCCCACCCCCAATTCATTTCTTCAGTGGAATAAGAGAGATTGCATCCATGTTTTAAAAACAAGCAAAATGCTTAAAAAGGTCAAAGGATTAGAAATTTAATAGCAGAAACTCAGATAGAAGGGGAAAGATAATGCAGGAAATCTCTCCTAAAGGAGAACAAAAAATAACAAAGATATGGATGGTCAGAGAGAAAAGACTAAAATAAAATTAAATTGGTCCAGGAGGTTTGACACCCATGTTCCACAAAAAGGATGGAGAAAATGGAAGGCAGGAAATCTGAACAAGTAATTCCAGAGCATTTTGCAGGACTGAGGGGCACAGGTTTCCAATGTTAAAGCTCACGAAATAAACGTAAAAAGACAAATACCAAAGCTGCATCACTGTGAAATTTCGGAACAAAGATAAAAGTAGATTGTAAAATATTTCAGCGAGGAAAAGAAATTATATCAAAATGATCAAGAAGCAACAGTAATCAAGACAGTGTGGTACTGGTAAGAGGATAAACATACAGATAAATGAAATACAATTGAGAACCCAGAAATAAAGCCATACATCTATGGCCAACTGATTTTTGACTAGAATGCCAAGACCAGTCAATAGAGGGAAAAACAGTCTTCTCAACAAATGGTGCTGGGACAGCTGGGGATCCACACACACAAGAATTGTGGGACCCCCTACCTCAGACCATATACTTTAGAAAAATTAATTCAAAATGACCTAAAAGTGAGAGAGAAAACTCAGAAGACAACATAGAGGTTAGTCTTCATGATCTTGGATTGACAATGGATTTTTTTTTTTTTACATCTTTATTGGAGTATAATTGCTTTACAATGGTGTGTGACAGTGGATTCTTAGACTTAACACCAAAGGCACAAGTGAGAAAAGAAAAAAAATAGATAATTGGACTTCATCAGAAACCAGCAAAAACAGAAGATTTTAAATAAGAGTCTCATAACATAACATACTCAAATGTTCAGGTTTCAGTGGGAAATCACGGACTCATGGTGCCAATAGCCAGGAAGATATCAAACTGAAGGAACAAAGAATCAACATATGCCAACACCAAGATGACAGAGAACACAATTAAGTGACAAAGGTTTTAATTAAAATGCTTAAATGAGCCATTACAAACAGGCTTGAAATAAATGGGGGAAAAAAGAAAGTCTCAGCAAATGAATGGAAGAAATGAAGCACTAAATGGAAGTTTTAGAACCAAAAACTATAATAATTAAATTAAAAGCTCAATAGATGGGCTCAACAGCATAAAGAAAGGGATAGGAGAAAGAATCAGTGAACCTGAAAATGGAATAATAGAAATTATCCAACCTGAACAACAGAGAGAAAATAGACTGAAAAAAAAACAGACTCAGGGACCCATGGGCCTATAATAAAAGATCTAACATTCATGTTATCAGAGTCACAGAAGGAAAGGAGAAAGAAAGGTGGGTTGAAAAAGTACATGAATAAATAAGGGCTGAAAACTTCTTAAACTTGGTAGAAACACAAACCTGCAGATCTAAGAATTTGAGTGAATCCCACATAAGATAAACCCAAAGAAATTCACATCAAGACACAAGTCAAACTTCTGAAAACTAAAGACGAAGACAAAAGTCTTGAAAGTGACAGTGAAACGACACCTTCCTATCATGGAAAAAGTTCACATGATGGCAGATTTCTCATCAGAAAGCACAGGAGCCAGAAGGAAGTGGCACAGCATTTTCCAAGTGCCGAAAGAGGACTTTCAACTCAGAATCCTCTTGCCAGAGAAAATGTCCTTCAGGACTGAAGGGGAATTAAGACATTCTCGGATGAAGGCAAACTAAGAATTGGTTGCTAGCAGACCTACCTGAAAAGGATGGCTGGAGAAAATTCTCTAAAGAGAAAGGAAAGGATAAGGAATCCAGGAACTTCAGGAAGGAAGAACAAATATTGTAAGCAAAAATATGGATCGGTACAATATACTTTCCTTTTCCTCTTGAGTTTTATAAATTATATTTGGCAGTTAAAGCAAAAATTATAATACTATCTGATGTGGTTCTAAAGGTAGGCAGAGGAAATATCAATTATATTATAAATGGTAGGGGGTAAAAAGATGTAAAGGGAAGTAAGGGTTTCTGTACTTCACTTGAATTGGTCAAATGATGACACCATTCTAATTTATTTATAGATAGATACTCAAAACAACACTATTAGATCAATCAAAATGAAATTCTAAAAAATGTTTAACCTACGGGAAGGCAGGAAAAAGAAAAAAACAGAACAAACAAAAATCAAAAAATTAAATGGCAAACTTACACCTAACAAACCAATTATATTAAACGTACATGCTCTAAATACACCAACTGAAAGACAGATACTGGCAAATACTGCTGGTGGGACTATAAGATGATCCAGCCACTCTGAAAAATAGTTTGGCAGTCTTTAAAAAAAAAATGAGACAAATACTCACCATATAACTCAATAATTACCGCCTGGGGCATTTATCCCATAGAAACCAAAACCTGTCCACAGTGGTTCATACTATATTTATTCTACAGCCACAAACTATAAACAGCCCAAATGTCCACTGATAGATGGATGCATAGACAAATCACCACGGTATATCCATCGAATGGAATGCTATTCAGCAGGAACAAAGAACGAACTATTTATACACGCAACAACGTGGATGAATCTCAAGATGACTATGCTGAAAGAAGCTACACAAAGAGAAAATAGAGAAAAGAGATACAGAGGATACAGTATTATACACTATTTTAGCTAGAGTCCCAGAGTGGAAAAACGGTTCTGCAGCAATGATCAAACAAGCGATAGGGGAAATTTCTACACAACTGATGAACAGCGCTAACCCATGGAGCCAAGGTAGCAGGCAGCAAGTTGGAGAGATTCTTACTGGCCAAATGTGGGACAATTTGACCATGGGGGATGGAGGGAAGACTGCAGTGGATTGAAACACATCAAATATGTGTAAGCCCAGGAGTTATAATGACGTTTTCAAAAGCTCATTAGTCACTGTTGAAGAACTGCCAGGATATCAACTCATTCTGAAAATGAATACAGGGAAAAATTGAGCACTTATCCTTCCTTTCCTGTGTATTTCAGAGTCATCAAATAGCGGATGAGGTAAAGTTCTTCTTTATATCGGATTCACAGCTAAGAAATGCAGATGGAATGATAGACAATTACTATTGTGGGACCCTTAAGGAAATAACAGATGTCAGCAATGACTGTCAGGGCTACTCGAACCACTAGTGAAAGGTTTATGGGGAACGTTGAAATGGAAGGATTCTGCTGACACCATATGACCCACTGGTTGATCTCAGCATCACTAAAAGGGAGCATCCCTGACGTGACACAACAGGAATTAGCCAGAAGCACCTGCAGCTTCGTCAGGAAACAAACAAAACCTGAGGGACTTCCCTGGTGGTGCAGTGGTTAAGAATCCACCTGCCAATGCAGGGGACACAGGTTTGAGCCCTGGTCCGGGAAGATCCCATGTGCCGCGGAGCAACTAAGCCCGTGCGCCACAACGACTGAGCCCACGTGCCTAGAGCCTGTGCTCCACAAGAGAAGCCACCACAATGAGAAGCCCGTGCACCACCACGAAGAGTAGCCCCCGCTCGCCACAACTAGAGAAAGCCTGCGTGCAGCAGTGAAGACACAACACAGCCAAAAATAATAATAAACATTTAAAAGATTTAAAAAAAAAAAAACAAAACCTGAATCTAATCAAGCTTCTAATTCTAGTGACCACTTTGATGGAAATAAAGGGGAAAAGGAACAGCTGTCATCAACTCTGAGGATGCAGCCAATCAAAACTGAAGTCTGACCAGTCAGTCTACAGGGACAAATGGCCTCATTTCATCAATAGTAAGGGACCACGGAGAAGAGGGAAAGTGAATAAACAGCTGTATAATATTCCATCCCAAAAAACCACGTACTTCAAAAAAATCATTTCCCATCAATACTAGTTTTTCGTATATATGACATTTAAATTTGTAAAACCAGTTTTTTGTATACATGTGACACTTAATTTTTTTTAAATCACTCTATCCCCTATTAGTAGTCAATCCTTTTAGTTTTATCTTTTATCTGCCCACAAGTATAAATTTAAAATATCATGAAAGAAAAACTACCAAGAATATGAGAATATTGTATAAATTAGATATTCTATTTTCCAAACTAATAATTTTCTTAAATCACTTTTTTGGTGAACAGTAGTTTTTTTTAAGTGACATCCATCCCCCACCTTCCTTTAAATGGAAAGGTCTGCATCAGTAAAGATGCTGGAGGCCCCGCCGACCATACCCCTCCCCCCTGGCTGGGAAGCCCATTGGGCACAAGCTCCTTCTGTTTCTCTTCCTTCCACTATCACAGGCCATTAGAGTTACTCTCCTCTGCTGATGGCTACGAAAATTTCTCTCAGACCTTCACCTTGTTCCTTGCACATCACAGCTAGAATATTTTGCCTTTCTTAAATTAAAATCAAAGTACCTATAAATATAAAGCCAGTATCAGCCATGAGTGGTTACCTTCAACATCCAGAGGAAGTGTCTCATGTCCATTGTGAGCTCATGCGGAGGGGCTGCATTTGGTCTGCAGTAAACAGTGTAGATCTCCCAGCACTTATCCACGTAATTCATTGAATAGAGTGTCCGGTGGGCCTCGCAGAATAAATTGCCTGAAGATGTAATGGAAAAAATGAACATTCAAAAGATGATTACAAAACTCTATTTTGGAAAATATTATGGTAAATATAATCCTATTGGTTTTCCATTTACCTTTTACACGGCAGGCATTTGGGCGAATGTTCTCATTCATCAGTTTTGTAAAACACAAAAAGAGTGATGGGCTTCTGTCTCTGTGATTAAGAAGATACCATAATCACTGCTCCTTCCAGGAGGTGGAACTTAATTCCCCTCCCCTTGAGTATGCGGTGGCCTTAGTAACTGGCTTCTAACAAGTAGAGTACAGCAAGGGGAAAATAGTAAGTGCAGTAGAGAAACCTGGCTGACAGCACTTAACCACGTGATCAAGGTTAACATCCCCAGTAATGAGACAGATCGACGTCATTTACCTGATAGGATGGTATTCTTCCCCCAAACTCATAACCTCAGTGTGATGATGAAAAAAATCAGAAAACTGAAATTGAGGGGCATTTTACAAAATAACTGACCAATATTCTTCCGAAGTGTCATGGTCATAAAAGACAAACTATCACAGCTGTAGGGGACTAAGGAGATGTGATAAATACAAGGTGGGATCCTGGATTCGGTCTTGAAACAGAAAAGGGAAAAAACTCAGGAAGTCCTTAAAAAATCTGTAATTTAGTTAATGGTGTTGTAGCAATGTTAATTCCTTAATTTTGATAAGTGTACCATGGTTCTGTAAGATGTAATAACTAGGGGAAGCTGGATGAAGGGGATATAGGAATTCTCTGTGTTACGAGAATTGTGTTGGCGACACTCTGTAAATCAACAATTATTTCAAAAGTTTTTTTTTTTTAAAGATACAATATCAATTTTGCCCTGAGAAAGATAGGAAATTCTGGTCTAAGGAAGAGCTGGTGGTGACTATTTCTGAATAAAAACTTGAGGGCTATGTGCAGAATTGAAACATGACCCACGTCGGAAGGGTTTACAAAATTTAATCCTGTTTCTAGCGGTTTTGTGGTTAATATTTGTGGAAAACTTTTGTTTCTGATCCTTCATTTCAAGAGTGTGAAAAAAAATAATATCGAAGAAAAAGGAACAATATCATAACAATCCTAACGGTGAGCTCAGCCCTCATCCTATCATGGGGTCCAGAAGGAGTACTTACTGGTATTCTTTGTGATGGATGTGGTACGCCAACTGCAGGAGGTAATTCAAAAATGTTCTCAAAAGTATTGTTGTAAATGGAGAATGAATTTCTTCAACTGGTATGTCCTTATTGGCTAAAACAAGAAAATTGGGGAGGATGCCTGGTGGTCTCTAGAACGTTCTATCTTATTTGCTCCTGGGACACAACTCAAAGAACTGAACACAATGGAGTACATTTTTTTCCTAGAGACTACCCTGAACAGCATATAAGCATCCACCTAAAAATTAAGGTCCACACGAAAGAGCTCCATCTGGTCACTTTACAAGAAAATTACAAGATACCTTGTCCTGGTGTTTTTCAAAGTGGTCTGAGCCACAGTCTGATTAACGCTGCTAATTCTAAGTGGGTTTGAAGTGTGTTTCAGACACTGAAATTTGAAGTAAATAGGCATTAGTTCTAACATCAAGAAGGTGATCTGAGGCCTTCGAGCCTGCCTGCCTGCCACAGTTCAGCTGAAAGGAATAAAGCCTTCAAAGTTGTTAATTTTACTGCAGGGACTTTTCAACTTGAAGTCAAGCCCAAGCCCAAGATTATCTAAAGCCTTTTCTTTCTTTTCTTTTTTTTTTTAAATTTATTTATTTATTTTTGGCTGCATTGGGTCTTCGTTGCTGCGCGCGGGCTTTCTCTAGTTGCGGTGCGCAGGCTTCTTATTGCGGTGGCTTCTCTTGTTGCAGAGCACGGGCTCCAGGCGTGCGGGCTTCAGTGGTTGTGGCGCACGGGCTCAGTAGTTGTGGCTCGCGGGCTCTAGAGCGCAGGCTCAGTAGTTGTGGCGCACGGGCTTAGTTGCTCCGCGGCACGTGGGATCTTCCCGGACCAGAGCTCGAACCCGTGTCCCCTGCATTGGCAGGCAAATTCTTAACCTCTGTGCCACCAGGGAAGCCCTCTAAAGCCTTTTCTAGGCTATTCCAAGCCCTCCCTGATCCTCTCTGCTTGTGACCTGACAACTGGGCGGTTTGGGGGCTTTTTTTTTTTTTGAGAGGGGGCGGATTGTTGTTGTTTTCTCAGGGATAGGCAGGCTTCTCTGTAAAGGGCTAGATGGTAAATATTTTAGGCTCTGTGGGCCAGCCTCTGTCACAGCCACTCAGCTCTGCTGGTGCAGGGCAAAGAACCCACGGACAAGATGACAACAAATGAGCATGGCTGTGTTCCAATAAAACTTTATTTATAGGAACACGCAGTTGGGCTGGATTTGGCCCACGGGCCGACTTTGCTGCCCCTGCTAGAGATGGTCTTTGACTGTTGCTGTTATTTCATGAGATCCTCTCCTCAGTCACGTTTTAAGCACCCTGGGAACACGACCATGTGTTGCTTTCTGGAACACCTCTCCCCACATCTGCCTTCCTCACTCCCTTAACATTTCCTAACTGGTGTCAGGGTGCTGTGATGTTATACTGCTCTTTAAACCAGATGCGAAGGATCTGGAATACTCACCACTTAGTACCCTGTCCATATCGGCGAGGGTTATTTTATGATGATGGAATTTGCAGTCTTTTAGAAACCTCCAGAAGTGAAGCTTTGTCATCAGAAAGGTGTTATCCAGAGAGTGATCACATCCTAGGCTGCTATAGAAGCTATAGATTCTTCTTAGTTCTGTAATATTTCTTAAGACAGCATATTCTACCTGAAAAGGGAAAGCCATACGTATCTTCATCTTACCTGATAAGAACAAAGGTAAAAGAAAACCTGTTTTCTAAATTAAACGAGGTAACACATGCAATAGCATTTACCTCTTACCACTGTAAGAGCTCAATAAATGTTATATTCTCCCCACCCATCCCCAGGTCAGTAACGTGCAATTTCTGAGTAAGAGTAGAAAGACATGCTGTTATCTGGGCAGTGGAATTACTTTCATGCTGCTCTGTCCAATCCTATCCTGTTTCATCCTATCTCAATGACAGCGATAAAATTCTCTCGTCTACAGATCGATATCCCTCATGGACCCAGACACAAAAATCTTCAACAAAACATTAGCAAACCAGGGAATTCCCTGGCGGTCCAGCGGTTAGGACTCCACACTTCCACTGCCGGGGGCCTGGGTTTGATCCCTAGTCGGGAAACTGAGATGTCACAAGCCACACAGCATGGCCAAAAATAATAATTAAAAAAATTTTTTTAAATAAAGGACATTCAATACATGACAGCAGTCATCAACTGCATCTTCCCAGGACTGTGGAGAGTCTGCTAATGTTTTAGCCTAAAATATAAATTTATAACAATACAGAAGGTTCTTACCTGCTTCTTTTCTTCTGATTGGTCTCTCTCCGGGTACATTTTCAGCAATAAACTGAGATCCAGCTCGATGCTCGAGCCTAACATGGAATTACTTTCACTGCCATCAAGCTTTCTGATGGTTTCTAGCAGATGAGGACAAATATACAGGATAAATGTGAAAAACGTTAAAATATTTCAGTGTCATCTCAAAATGACTTTCTGCAGAAGCGTGACACAAGAGTATTCAAAAACCTATAAGAAAGCAGTTGCTCGCAGGAAACTTGTGTTTTCTGAAATATTAGGTGTATTTTTGATGCAATGTTACACATTAATTTGCCTTTAGCTGACAGGTGGACGCTCCCTACCGGCACTGATGGAGGATCTGCAATACTGGTTCCTGAGGGCAGATTCTGGAGTCGTGTCCAGGTAGCTGATCAGTTCACCTTCAAGATTTGGAAACTCTGCTATGTGGTCATTGGAAAATGGGCCATCATACACACACCCATTCTTAAAAGTTAATCGGCCCTGCAGAGAGAAAAGTAACTTTTTGCAGCTTAGGAAAACTGTTTTTAGAAAACCATTGGTAGGGACTTCCTTGGTGGTCCAGTGGTTAAGAATCCCCCTTCCAATGCAGGGGACGTGGGTTTGATCCCTGGTCGGGGAACTAAGATCCCACATGCTGTGGGGCAACTAAGCCCGAGCGCTCCAGAGCCTGCGTGCCACAACTAGCGAGCCCGTGTGTCCCAACTACTGAGCCCGTGTGCCCTGGAGCCCGCGTGCCACAACGAGGACCCAGTGCAGCCAAATAAATAAATAAATATTTTTTTAAAAATTATAGAAAAAGGAAACCATGGGTAAACGTACATCAATATCTTTTTCAAGGGTTTGGAGGCTTCTGTTTGCTTGTTAAGATCTGCACTTAGTCCACATACAGTCAGGCTCCTGGAGTCTCTTGTCACCACGTAGATCCTCTCTCCTCTCCCCGATCCCCCTTCTCTCCCCTCACTGTATCTGCCCCACAACCTCTCCCCAACTTTAAGCACCCCTAGGTCACAGAATGTGGCTTATTAAATATGCTGATGACAGCAGAGGTGCCTATCACAGAATGGGGACTCTCTTGGTATTTATCACACCCAGGCCAGTGGTTGGTCTGACTCAAAGGTGGGCAAATGACCCCCAGTTCAGCTCAGTGAAGCTAAAGATGTTTGTGGAAAACTTCTCCAAAAAGAGTTTCTTCTCTCCTTCTACTTGGTGGGGTATGTAGACGTGAAGCCTGGAACCACAGCAGCCATCTTGCAGTCATAAGGGAGGGCAGCATAACTGTGAAGCTGACATGGTAGGAGACATGGATGGATGGAGGAGAAACCCCGACGTCATGGAGCTGCTGAATCAAACCAACACTGAAACCCACATTATTCTTTATCATTTATGGAAGATTAAGCTAGATTTTCTGTTACTTGCAACCAAAACCACCCTAACATACACACACACACACACACCAGACTAATTAAATAACCTCTAAATACAAAGGAAATTGATATGTTAGAAGTTATTTTAAAAGTTATGTAGTCATCTTAACAAAACGGTAAGTTATCCTATGCAAAATGGACAATGCATTTTACTAGGCAGAGAATGACATGCTTTTACACAATCTTTAAACTGTAATCTTCACAGGTCTGTACTCACCATGCCATGTTTTTTATTGGCAACCCATTCTCCCTCATACATGGCTCCACTGGCATAGTAGAACTTTCCATGGCCATGACGGTATCCATTCACAAACTCTCCTACATATTCATTTCTCAAAGGATACTGGGAGTAGGGGATTCTCTTTAGAAACCATGTGTGTGTGCCAAAACCATTCTGAAAAGAAAGCAAATTTCCATGAGAAATGCTCAAAATGTTTCCTCTTTTTGCCCAAATCCATTAAAAATTAGGTATGAATCAAATACAGGGACTCATTTGAAGGGGCAAGGAGCATGCGTGATGGAGTCTCACAAACTTGGGTTCAGCCTCAGCTCAGTTATTTACAAACCAGCCCTTTGACATAAGGCTAATTAGTTCTGCCCTCTGGGTCTCATCTATAAAGGGAAATAACACCTACCACAGGTTGGGTGTAATAATTGAAAACAGTGTATATAAAGTGCCTGGCTTAATATTATTTTAAATTTTAATTATTTTTAACATACAGATTGATAAAAATATTCCCTCCTCAATCCCACATTCCAGAGGTAACTACTAGTTGGGTTTGAAATTCATCTCTGTTTTTCCCAGGCACATACAATCATATTTAATCAACATATTACATACATATATAAAGACATACACAATTTTTCAACAATGGAATGTTTCTATACATACACCATTCTTTTTTTTTTTTTTAACCCTATCTGACTTTATTCATTGTTATACAAGCTTACACAGCTTGGATATATATACCATTCTGTAAATTCTGGGTATATACTGAAGAGAAATGAAAGCAGGGAATCGAACAAACAATGTGTACACTCATGTTCATAGCAACATTTGCAACAGCCGAAAGGTGGAAGCAACCCAAGTGTCTGTTGAGGAATGAATAAACAAAATGTGGTCCATCCATACAACGGAATATGATTCAGCCTTAAAAAGGAAGGAAATTCTGACACATGCTTACAGCATGGATGAACCTTGAAGACAGTACGCTAAGTGAAATAGGCTATTCACGAAAGGACAAATACTATATGATTTTACTTAGATGAGGTGTCTAGAAGAGTCACATTCACAGAGACAGACAGTAGAATGGTGGGTGCCAGGGGCTGGGGGGAGGGGGAAGTGGGGAGTTATTGTTTAATAGGCACAGAGTCTCAGTTTTGCAAGGTGAAAAGAATTCTGTGGATGGATGGCGGTGACGGGTGAACACAGTGTGAATGTACTTAACACTGAACTATATACACTTAAAAATGGTTAAGATGGTAAGTTATATGTATATTTTACCACCATTAAAATTAAAAAGAAGAAAACAAAGTTGGAGTGGCCATACTCATATCAGAAAAAGTAGAGCTCAGAGAAATAAAAATCACCAGGGTTCAAGAATGACATTATAAAATTATAAAAAGGGTCAACTCACCAGGAACACATAACAATCCTAAATGTGTATACACATAACAACAAACTGTCAAAATAAACGAAGCAAAAACTGATAGATCTGAAAGGAGAAACAGACAAATCCACAACTACACTTGAATACTTAAAACACGCTTCTCTCAGAAATGGATAGAAAAAGTTGACAGAAAATGAGTAATGATATAGAAGATCTGAACAACACTATCAACCAACTTGATCTAACTGACATCTATAGAAAACTCCACTCAACAAAGTCAGGAATACACATAACGGTTCACCAAGATAGACCAAAATAAACCTCAACATACTGAAAAGAAATGCAATTATAGACAGTATGTTCTCTGACCACAGTGGAATTAAACACACAAAAAACAACAGAGACGTATCTGAGAAAATACCCAAATATCTGAAAATTAAACAACGTACTTCAAAATAATTTATAGGCCAAAGAGGAAGTCATGGGGAAATTAGAAAATATTTTGAACTGAACAAAACTTAAAAAACATGATATATCAAAATAAGTGGGATACAGATAAAGCAGTGCTAAGAGGAAAATTTTTAGTATTAAATGTTTATATTAGGAAAAAAGAAATGTCTCAAATCAATAAAGCATCCATACAACTCTAGGAAAAGAGCAAATTAAACCCAAAGCATGCAGAAGGGAGGTAATAACAAGAATAGATTTCAGTTATTTTGAAAAACATCAAAGAAAACAAAACTAAAACTGGCTCTTTGATCATTTTAATGAAATTGATACATCTCTAGCAAGACTGATGAAGGAGAGAGAAAGCACAAATTACTAATATTAGAAGAAAGAGGGACCATCACTATAGATCCTATATATATTAAAAGAATAAGGTAATGTTATAAACAACCTTGTGCCAATAACATTAACAATTTCTATGAAGCAAGCAAACTCCTTCAGTATAATACAAACTTCCACAGCTTAAGAATAGATAACCTGAATAGCACATTATTTACTAAAGAAATTGATTTTATAGTTAATATGTAGTTAATTTAATCATCCCACAGACAACTCCAGGCCCAGAAGGCTTCACTGGCATATTCAACTATATGGCTAAGGAAGAGATAATGCCAATGCTACAAACTTCCAAAAAATTGAAGAGAACACTTCCCAATTCATTTGATGAAGCTGACATTACCCTGATTACTACAAGCGGACAAGATGTTATAAGGAAATAATACTATAGATCAATATTCCTCATGAACATGGACACAAAAATTCTCAACAAAATATCAGGAAATTAAACCCAGCAAGATATAAAAAGGATAATATCATCATGACCAAGTTGGGTTTGTCCCAGGAATGCAAGATTGGCTCAACATTTGAAAATCAATTAATCTAACTCAACCAATCAATAGACCAGAGAAGAAAAACCACATGATCATCGGACTGGAGGCAGAAAAAGCACTAGACAAAATTCAACATCTATTCATGATGAAAACTGTTAAGCAAATTAATTAAAAAGTGCTTCCTCGGGGCTTCCCTGGTGGCGCAGTGGTTGAGAATCTGCCTGCCAATGCAGGGGACATGGGTTCGAGCCCTGGTCCGGGAAGATCCCACATGCCACGGAGCAACTGGGCCCGTGAGCTACAGCTACTGAGCCTGCGCGTCTGGAGCCTGTGCTCCACAACAAGAGACGCCGCGATAGTGAGAGGCCTGCGCACCGGGATGAAGAGTGGCCCCCGCTTGCCACAACTAGAGAAAGCCCTCTCACAGAAACGAAGACCCAACACAGCCAAAAAATAAATTAATTAAAAAAAAAAAAGTGCTTCCTCAACCTGATAAAGGGTAGCTACAAAAAACCTACAGCTAACATCATGCTTGATGAGAGACTGAATTCTTTCACACTAAGATCAGGAACAATGTGAGGATGTCCACTCCCTCCACTCCTAGTCAATATCACAAAATATCCTGGAGGTCTTAGCCAGTGCAATAAAGCAAGGGAAAAAAATGGCATACAGATTAGAAAGAAACATGAAGTTGACTGTATTTGCAGGCATGGTTATCTAGATTAAAAAGTCCTAAAGAGTCTACAAAAAAGCGACTAGAACTATTATGTGAGTTTAGCAAGGTCCCCGATTAGTAAGTTAACATATAAGATGTCATCAGAAAATCCTAGCTATATAAACTATATAAAATTAACCATAGAAAGCGTTCCTTTCCTGTGCAGGAAATACATAGCTATTTATTTATTTATTTATTTATTTATTTATTTTTGGCTGTGCTGAGTCTTCATTGCTGTGCGCAGGCTTTCTCTAGTTGCGGTGAGCAGGGGCTACTCTTCCTTGTGGTGCGCAGGCTTCTCATTGCGGTGGCTTCTCTTGTTGCAGAGCACAGCTCTAGGCACGCGGGCTTCAGTAGTTGTGGCTCGCAGGCTCTGTAGTTGTGGCACACGGGTTTAGTTGCTCCACGGCATGTGGGATCTTCCTGGACCAGGGCTCGAACCTGTGTCCCCTGCATTAGCAGGTGGATTCCTAACCACTGCGCCACCAGGGAAGCCCAATACATGGCTTGTAAAATGTAAATAGTGTGTGTGCTTCCTGACTGTCCTTTGTGGTTTGTGAGAAGTGCTGATTGCAATATGTCTTCAGGAAATGCCAAAATTGGGCCCCATGCCCCCCACTTCGTGTGTTCTTCTTTTACCCTCTTGACTTCACCTTTGTGTGCCCCACGGAGATCACTGCTTTCAGTGATAGGGCAGAAGAGTTTTAAGAAACTCAAATGCCAAGTGATTGGTGCTTCTGTGGATTCTCACTTCTGTCTCCTGTCATGGATCATCACACCCAAGAAACAAGGAGGACTGGGACCCAGGAACATGCCCTTGATATCAGACCCCAAGCGCACCATTGCTCAGGACTATGGGGTCTTAAAGGCCAATGAAGGCATCTCATTCAGGGGTCTTTTTATTATTGATGATAAAGGTATCCTTCGACAGATCACCATAAACGACCTTCCTGTTGGCCGTTCTGTGGAGGAGACACTGAGACTAGTTCAGGCCTTCCAGTTTACTGACAAACATGGGGAAGTGTGCACAGCTGGCTGGAAGCCTGGCAGTGATACCATCGAGCCTGATGTGCAGAAGAGCAAAGAATATTTCTCTAAGCAGAAGTGAGCGCCGGGCCATTTTAGGGCCAGGCTGCAGTAGGTGGCCATGAGAACAAAACCTCTTTTGTACTACTGTCATGCTTAAAACACAAGACTTTACACTCAGCCCAGATGTGGTGTGGGACAGGACAGGCCCTTCCTGCAGGGCTTGGGGAGGCCAGCCTTTCTTCCTCTGGAGGGAGCGGCCTGAGCTATATTATGGGGCAGGCAAACTGATGTGTATAGTAGTAGGATATCACTTTTGGTCTTTTGTAGCTTTATTAAACTTGAGCTGAGACCTTTTTGATTCTTCATTTTAGGTGGACATTAGCCTTTGAGTGTAAGAGGAATTTACTTTTTGCTTTCCCTCTTTAGGGGAAAATGAGGTGTGAGAGTGCCTCAGAATCAGGAAATTATATTGAGGGGAAATGCAAGTAGATACAGGGAATGGACCTTGAAGCAAGGTGTTTCATTTCACCGTATCTGGAGAAGAGCAAGGCCTACTACAGTACTGGCCAAGGCACTGCAATTTACGCTATAGGCTGGGTTGCAAGTTAAGAGCCCAGTGAGATTACTGGCATTTACTTTTACAGTACTGGGAGGGCTGTATGAAAACCTGAAGCTTGGCCTCTTCTGAGAAATGCCTGGTACTGGTTCTGTAAAAAGATCAGAGTTAAGAGGCTTCAGTGCCTTTGGAACTAAAAGGGGGAGGGGGAGACAAACACAGCGCTGGTGTTCATAGGGGAGGCTGTCTGTGTCAAAAGCACGGTGCTGAGCACCTCTTGGCTTCCCTGGGTCTCTATCCTTGATTTAAGGGTAGTTCTTATCCTCATATCATGTCCTGAGGGAGGGTTGTCAGTGGGGCAAAGGTGGATTCCTCCTGGGCTCTTGAGGCTAGGGCAGATTCAGGACTGAGAATCCTTCTGTATATCATGTGGTGCCCTTCTAGACACCTTCCAGACACAGCTACCCCAGCCTACCTACCCCTCCAGTATTCAGACAAGCCAGAACTATGAGCGGTGGTATGGGATTCCCGGGGCCTTCAATAATAGCTTATTATATGCCGGGCACTATTTCGTATTTATTCAGTCTCCATAAGAACCCTCTGAGGCAGGCACCGTTATTTAGGGGACAGTTGCTTCTTAAGCCCTGTCACAAGCAGCATCTTGAAGCACTGCAGAGAAATGGGAACAGGTAATAATCCCAGATTCCAAGGCAGCTGGCAAGTCTGGATCTGCTTTGGTCTTTTGACCAAACTTCAAATTTGAGCCTTGTTATCTTCATTTAAGATCTCTACTATAATTCTTTATCAAAAATGATCACCTTGTACCCAGTAAAATCTTGTCCAGCCAAATAAGTCCAAAAAAATAAATAAATAAAATGTAAATAATAGTCTCAGTCCTCCCAAGAGTCATGTGACTTATGAATTTGCCAATGGAAGAACCTCGCTTGTGTGTGAGACCTCTAGAGAAAACTAAATACTAATAAAACAGCACTTAAAAAAAAAAAAAAGGTCAATTTAGCCATAAAAATGAATGAAATAATGCCATTTGCAGCAACATGGATAGATCTGGAGATTATCATACTAAGTGAAGTAAGTCAGAAAGAGAAAGACACCCTATGATATCACTTGTATGTGGAATCTAAAATACGACACAAGTGAACGTATCTACAAAACAAAAACAGACTCACAGACATAGAGAACAGACTTACGGTTGCCAAGGGGGAGGGGAGGGCGGAGAGGGATGGATGGGGAGTTTGGGATGAGCAGATGCGAACTATTATATACAGAATGGATAAACAACCAGATCCTACTGTAAGGCACGGGGAACTATATTCAATATCCTGTGAGAAACCATATGGAAAAGAATATGAAAAAGAACATATATACATGTATAACTGCATCACTTTGCTGTAGAGCAGAAATTAACACAACAGCGTAAATCAAGTATATGTCAACAAAATATATATTTTTTAAAAAGGCTGATTTAGGGCTTCCCTGGTGGCGCAGTGGTTGAGAGTCCACCTGCCGATGCAGGGGACACGGGTTCGTGCCCCGGTCCGGGAAGATCCCACATGCCGCGGAGCGGCTGGGCCCGTGAGCCATGGCCGCTGAGCCTGTGCGTCCGGAGCCTGTGCTCCGCGGCGGGAGAGGCCACAACAGTGAGAGGCCCGTGTACCAAAAAAAAAAATAAATAAATAAAATAAAAATAAAAATAATAAAAAGGCTGATTTAGACAAGTAATCATAATGTGAGTTTGTGAGTTTCTAAATTTAACACAGCTTGAATTTCAGATTACTGTGCAATACCCTACACCAAATAATTCCTGGGCTGAGGACCAGCAGAGCCCCCACCTCTGGGTGTATTCCACTCAAACCAGCTAGTACAGTACCTGGGCCCCCTGCTCCCACTGACCCGTGTACTCTTCGTTAGTTGTCAGCCACCTCATCCTGCCTTCCCCATGCCGCACATTGTTCTCCCACTGACCTTCATATATATTTCCAGATTTGTAACTAGGACAAACAAAAATTAAAAACAATCAGTTATCTCATGTACAACATTTACCTTTAAGACTTTCTTAAACTTTCTCCCTAAATACCTCTGAAGAAATCCAATCCTTGTGCCCATACAATCTTCCCTGTATTTAAATTCAATGAATAGGCATGTGTTCCATAAAAACAATCATCTGGGTGGGTGGGTGGGGGGGGGGGGGGGTGGACAGAATAAATCACTTTGTAAAAACTTCTGATTACTTAATAAGGTGACAGTGGGTAAGATTAGTGTTTTTAATCTTTTTAAGTAACTCCCTATAGTATTATGATTGGTTAATATTTTGCCCCCAAGTATTTTAATCCTTAAAATATTTGGCTCCATCAGCTCGATCTAAAATCAAGTCGATATGTCAATATCCCTCAGAAAATATGAAACTAACAATGGAGACCCATGATTAATACAGAAAACAAAGGGAGGCAGTTTCTATGTATAATAAAGTGAAACAGTATGATTACCCATCATATTTAATGTGGTGTTTTTCTAAATTTTCCGAAGAATACTTCATCCCTGTTGAGATTATATTGGGGTTAATTTAAATATTCCACCCTGCTTATGTAGAAAACGTGTTCTCTGTAAGTTCTGCACCTTATCTTTAAATAGCCTATGTGAAAGTTACTTGGGCCCAAGAACGCTTTTCGCCAACACCCCAAACATGGGGGGGGGGGGGGGGCGCCGTGGATACCTACCACCTTATCCCCCAGCCCTTTTTGACGTTGTTCACCCAGTCTCCCTTGTACCAAGAGGTGCCCTCTTGATTGTAATAAATGGAGCCCTAGAACAAAGAATATCATTTTTTAAATAAAATCATCAAGCCTTATAAAACAAATGCTTTTTTAAAGGTAAAGATTAGAATGCATGATTTTAAGGAGTCTAAATGATGCAGAAAATGTCATCCTTAGGTAAGACATATAACCCGTGTTATGCTTCTGGTTTGGGATTAAGAACACTGTAAAGTGCCCACCAAGTGAGAATGAGATCACAAATCAGCTACCCCTGAACAGCAAAGGGTCACATACGGGATGAAACGACTACATCCATTACCCTCAGTATATCCAGTAATTATTTGTCAAACAAGTACCTAAAGAAATCCTACTTTGTTGTCTCCTAAAGTGAAGAGTAGTACCTTCCTTATAACTGAAGCTCACTCTCTTTTATGTACCAAAACCAGTTTGTTTTATCCATTTTGACATCTTACTTTACTGCCTCCGAGCATAAGTGAACACGGCATAATTCCTCTTTGATGATTCCTTTAAGGGAGTGGGAGTAGCCACTGTGCAAAGCATTTGGATCTACGCTAAATGGCCTGAAATTGCTTGTTTATTCACTGGTTTGTTTCTGTGTGTGTGTGATTTTTCCATCTTCTTCCTCATTCTCACGCTAACTTGTTCCTTCTTGCAGCCATCCTGGTGCCTCCATCTAGAAGTCACCATCCCCAACTCCCCCAAATATCTGAACTGACCTGCTTTGAGCTAAAAAACAAAAAAAACAGAATGCAGAACACAAGGGAACAGTCTAAATCTGAGTAAGGTGATAATTATGAAGATAGACTTTCTTTTTCTTTTGACATTTTCTAAAAACAGTGCTACAGTATTTTATCATCCTATATAAAAGTGAGACAATAGTACCAAAAACAGCAACCTCGCTTCAAAGTACCTATAACCTACATTGCTGGTGAGAGTGTAAACTGGTTTAGCCACCACGGAAAACAGTTTGGTGGTCCTTCAAAATGCTAAACATCAAGTTACCGTAGGACCCAGCAATTCCACCCCTAGGTATATACCCAAAAGAACTAAAAACAAGTACTCAAATAAGCTTTTGCCCTCACAGTCATAGCAGCACTATTCACAGTAGCCAAAAGATGGAAACAGCCCACATGTCCATCACTGGATGGATGGATAAACAAAATGTGGTCCATCCATACAGTGGAATATTACCCAGCTGTAGAAAAGGAATGAACTACCTACAACACGGATGAACCTCAAAAACATGATACTCAGTGAAAGAAGCCAGACACAAAAGGTCACATATTGTCTGATTCCATTTATACAAAATATTCAGAATAGGTAAACCCATAGAGTGAGAAAGCCTGGGTGGTTGCCCAGGGCTGGGGAGGTGGGGAGTAACTGCCTAATGGGTATGGGGTTTTATTTGGGGATGATGAGAATGTCTGGGGACTAGAAAGAGGTGCTGGTGGCACCATACTCTGAATGTACTAAATGCCACTGAATTGTTCACTGTAAAATGGTTAATTTCACGTGATGTGAATTTCACATCATAAAAAAAAAGTGAATATACCCTTCACAGCCCCCCCACCTCCTGCTCTCTGTGTTTGCACATCCCATTCATAGCCGGGGGTCGCGCGGCTGCCTCACCCACCTTGCCGTGTCTCTTGCCGTGGCACCAGTGGCCGATGTAGGACACGGGCTGCGTGCTGGACTTGAACATGCCGAATCCGTGTCTTATGCCGTTGACCACTTCTCCTTCGTAGGTGCTGCCATCCGGCCACGTGTAGACGCCATGGTTCATGGGGATGTTTTTCACAAAGTCCCCCTAGGGCAAAATGGTCATCAGTGTGGCAGAAAGAAGGCAGTGGAGAGATCCCTCGTCTTGTGGGCTGCTGGAGATGCGGACACCACGCCGGTGTCTCCTCCCTTGGAAACGGCTGAATACCCCCTCCAGCTCCCACCCCCCTCCTCCCGTCTCTACACATCCCATCCTCCCACACCTGGTCCCTCCACCGGACAGAAGCCCAGGCGGAATGAGCTATCGGGAAAGCTGTGTGCAGACTAAGCTCGAAGAAGCCAGCAGGTGACGTGGTACAGCGGTGGCTTCCAAGCCTGGCCTTGAGAATTCTGGATTCTGGAACCCGCCTCGGAGGCGGCTAATCCACTGGGGTCCAGTGTCACCCCCAGGAGATGATGACTGGCCAGGCTCAGGGATCACTGGTGGAAACCCTAATATACTGCAGACACACCAGCCAGCGTCCTGCCCCAGGATGAGCGGCCAGCATGCGGTGCCCCCCACACCTCAGCCCAGAGGCATCGGGTTCTTTTCCAGGAACATGAACTCCTGCAGGCGAGGTCCCAGTAGAGGTCCCAAGAGGCCAGCCAACCTCCCAGAGGATGCTTCTGTGAGAGCCTGAATCCTGCCCATAAACCCTCCCCTGACTGGGTGTTTGTGTGTCTGTGAAGGGGGTGGCTCTGTGTCTGCAAGAATGAGCCCCACCTGACCTTCCAGAGCTGATGAACCAGAGGTCCAGGCCAGGAGGCAGGGCTTGGGGGCAGCGGGGAGTTTCCCAGGAAAGGCTGGCCTGAAACGGCAGTTGGGACACAATCCTCTGGCCGCCCTGGACCTCGGCTGTTCTCTCCCCTCCGTGACAATGAAGGTGGACCCTCCCCTCGCTCTTCCCCAGCCTCATCTCCCACTGACCAGTCCACTTAGCTGCCCACCTGGCCCAAACGTGCCTCTTTCCCTAACCTGATGTTGTTTGCATGTGAGCCTTATATCCTCTGCTTTAAATACTTTCATTACGACTTATGAACACCATCGCATTAGCAGCTCTGCAACTGTGATTTTCAGGGCAGCGTTTCAGGCCCACACGCACTGTAGAGGCACCGGTCTAAAAATACACATTCCCTAACCCGGCAAGACCGTTAAGTGAGGCCCAAACGCAGCACAAGCAGCCAGTAGAGATAGCTAGATCTGAGTGAGTGGGTATGGTTTGGTCTCTAGAGAAAAAAGGTACAGAAGAGAGTGTATAACAAACTATTTATAGGGCTCCCCTGGTGGCACAGGAGTTAAGAACCCGCCTGCCAGTGCAAAGAACATGGGTTTGAGCCCTGGTCCAGGAAGATCCCACATGCCGTGGAGCAACTAAGCCCGTGCACCACAGCTACTGAGCCTGCGCTCTAGAGCCCGCGAGCTACAACTACTGAGCCCACATGCCGCAACTACTGAAGCCTGCATGCCTAGAGCCCACGCTCCACAAGAGAAGCCACTGCAATGAGAAGCCCGCATACCGCAACGAAGAGTAGCCTCCGCTCGCCGCAACTAGAGAAAGCCCACGCGCAGCAACGAAGACCCAACGCAGCCAAAAATAAATAAAATTAAATCTTTAAAAAAAAATAAACTATTTGTGTTTGCAAAAATATGGGAGAGGCTGAAGAATACCTCTAGAATATACAAACGAAACTGGACACAGTTTACAGAGGGTCCCCTGCGGTAACAACTAACTTGTCACCTCTGTTCTTTGGTTCTATGGATTTTTTTTTAACCCATGTGCTGAGTTACTTTTATGAAACTAGTATGTTTAATTGTGGGAACCTGACCATTAAATCACATAATTCACTTAGAACTATAACATACTATACGCTTTACCTCATATTTCAATCCATCAGCCCAGACGTAAGTCCCCCGTCCATGCATGAGTCCTTCTGAAAACATACCCTTTGAAACAGAGCAACAAAGCATTAGGCCCAATCTTGATTTACACAACTGCCACCCAGGGATTCAGCTTTTAAAATGGAAACATGTTCGACAAATATGCTTGTCCAGCGTTCAGCTGGGAGCTGGCAACACACTGGCGTCCATCCTGTTCTAAAAAGGATCTGAGTAGGAGTCCAAAAAAACCCAGTTCCCTAAAACTGGCACTAGGCAGTGTTGCGCAGTTGTTAAACTGAGCTGTAAATTCAGCCTTCCTCACCTAATTAAGCTGTTGGAAAACTCTAGAGTTCAAAAGAACTCATATGTTTTGGGCTTTGCATTTCAAAGTTTAAGGGTCTTTTGAAAATTATTTAGACTAGATTAAAACCATTATCTGGATATCAGAAATTATGACATTTGTCAACGTCACACTTTGTTTTCCCTTACTGGGAATTATCAGAACGTGTGAGCGTGTGTGTGTATTGACACAAACACAAGTATACACAATGTACAGTTGTTCATATCGTTCATTTAGAGTATCTATTGTTAATGTATAGGAACTAGTTGTTAAAAACTTCACACACCTGAATGTCGCAATGCAATCAGAGAAAACGCGTATAACATTACACCCAGTCCTTCCTCGGAATCACTTCTTTAGAGGAGGTGGTGAGCTCAGGGGTTGATGACTGGAGAGAACCGAGAATCTATGTAAACAGTGCCCTGACGCAGTGGTTCTAGACTCGACTGTGCATCACAGCCACCGGGGTAGGGGGAGGTGAAAGCACAGATTACTGGGCCCGCCCTGCACGCTGGAGATTCTGATTCATCACCAGCTCTGGGCTGGGGCCCAAGAATTTGTACTCTGCACAAATTCCCAGGTGCTGCTGCTGGTCCCTGGGAACACGCTTTAAGAACCACTGCCTTAACTTCACTAGCGAGAAGGTCCGTTATATCATCCATCCAGGTGAACCTAGCCACACCTCAGGCAGGGCTGGCGCTCAGGGAAACTGGGGGCAGCCAGAGAGCTTCCAACTGCAGGCTGGGGCTCTCGTTTGGATTATGGAATCAATCGTGGTCGCAAGCAGCAGAGTTTTGTTTTGTTTAACAGAGTATTGATAGAACAGAAGGGATCGCGCTTCATCTACACGGGAAGGGCAAGTGTTTCGTGAAATGTTTGTTTTCAAGTTTTCTCTTTAGGAAATTGCGATCTAATCACGTGACCAACGCAGGTCGGACCCCTGTGGGTCGTGGGGCTACTGGGTTGTTCCACTGGGTCTGCCTCCTTCACCGTTTAAAGGAGATCCAACTGATGATGACTTTCAATCGCAAGAATCTGAGTCTAAGGAAAATATGCAAAGTTTACAAAGCAGGTAGCTGGCAGCGAGGAAGGGGGCTCCTCCAGAAGTAAAGGGGTGTTTGCCTCTCATTAGTGGGAAGGGCAAGGCTGCCTGGTCAGGCTTGAGCTACCAGGTGACTGCATACCTGAGGACACCCAGGGTTAGCAGGAGCTGTGATTGCATCCTCAGCAGCCCGGGAGGGGTTTATCCCGTGTGGTCAAGCACCAGGTATCTTTGAATGGCATACACACTGGTGCCTTGTAGAAGCACCACAGTGGTGAAGGAAGATTCTCATCAGGATAAAGAAACACTACAAAGGCCAGAACTGGCAGAGGCCAGAGGGACAGTCATTTTAATGACATTTAATGACATAATAAATGGCGTGGGGTTGTTTTGTTTTCTTTTGTTTTTGGCCAGCTGCGTGGCTTGTGGTATCTTAGTTCCCCGAGCAGGGACTGAACCCAGGCCCTCAGCAGTGAAAGTGCAGAGTCCTAACCACTGGACTACCAGGGAATTCCCATAAATGGCATTTTTAAGAGTTTTTATAACACAGGAAAATGAACATGTTATGTTAATGGGAAAAATCAGGATACTGAAACCTGTGCCTTTTGACCTCAACTACAAAAATCTGTTCTATAATAAGCACACATTTCCTGGATAATCTGAACGAACGGATGAATGACTATTGCCACTGTAGCATCATTGATAAAGACAAAAAATGAAAACACCCCAAAAGTAATAATTATGGCATAGTTCTGAATGGTAAATTAGAGCACTGTGCAATATTTTAAATAATTATGGAAGAGGGAATGGGAATTTAGTGCTTAATGGGAACAGGGTTTCAGTGTGGCATGATGAAAAAGTTCTGGAGATGACGGTGGTGATGGTTGTTCAACAATGTAAATGTACTTAATGCCACTGAAACTAACACTTAAAAATGGTAAGTTTAATGTACATTTTACCACAAACAAACTTTTAAGCTATGGAAACCATACATTAATACAGCAATGTATTCATAACTGAAAAAAGATTCAAGGTGTTATCTACAAAATTAATACGCCCATGTAAAAACACTGATCCATCCATTCAAGAAATAAAAGAGGGGGGCTTCCCTGGTGGCGCAGTGGTTGAGAGTCCACCTGCCGATGCAGGGGACACGGGTTCGTGCTCTGGTCCGGGAAGATCCCACATGCCGCGGAGCGGCTAGGCCCGTGAGCCATGGCCGCTGAGCCTGCGCATCCAGAGCCTGTGCTCCACAACGGGAGAGGCCACAAAAAAAAAAAAAAAAAGAAAAAGAAATAAAAGAGGAACTTCTCTGGCGGTCCAATGGTTAAGACTCTGCACTTCCACTGCAGGGGGCACGGGTTCGATCCCTGGTCGGGGAACTAAGATCCTGCAAGCCACGCGCCACCACCCCCCCAAAAAAAAAAGACACAGCAAATTGAAAACATTTATGGCAAAAGGATACTGGGATTTTTTACTCTTTGTTTTTTACTTTAGTGACCTTAATGTTGTTTGTACAAAATAAAACTTGGCAAAAGGAAAAATCTAAAATGACTACTTTGTACTAAAGTAGTCATGTTTTTACCTTAAAATATGTACTCAGGGTTCAAAATAAAATCAGCATCAAGTACTTCCAATTTCTTTTGAGGAATCAGTGGACTTTCTGAAGATGCAAATCTAAAGTTATCACCCTGCACTGTCTGCCCTACCCAGTTCCAAAAGGTATAACTCACGTGGTAGGTACAGCCTCCTTGAAAGATGGCAAAGCCTTCTCCCTCATACAGTCCACGGACTTTTTCCCCTTCGTAGCTACAGTGAAACAAAGCTCAAGGCAATGAATCATGTGAGCACACCTCAGTGGACTGTGTGTTAAAATACGTAATGAACATCAATGAAAAAGTACAAGTATCTCACATTCACTCAACAAGCATTCCCCGCCGAGGACCACTGTGTGCCTGCCCCCTTCTAAGTACCAGGACTGCAACTGTGAACAAGTTCCTGCCCTCAGGAGTTTATGGCTCAAAGAGGAGAGACAGTAAAAAGGAAACAAATGAACAAGATAATTCTAGATCGTGTTCAGTTTTTGTGAAAGAAATGATCGGGGAATGTGATCAGGAGTAAGGAGACGGCTACTTATAACAAAGAACCTGGAGAAGAAGAGGATCCCCAGGAAGAGGAAACAGCAAGTGCAAAGGCCCTGAGGCAGGAAAGAGCCTGCCGGCTCAAGTTCAGCTGCATAGCTGGACCACACTGAGTAGGTGAGCAATGGATGGGAGGGAGACCAGGGGAAGAAGAGGCTGGGCCGTGATAAAGACTTGCTATAAAATCGAAAAGCTCTAGGAGGAATCATGAGAGGGTTTTAAGAGGTGGGTTGGACAAGACCAGATTTACATCTTAAAAAGATCACCCCAGCTGCCTTGGAGAACGGACTGTGTGTTGTGGGAAGCTAACTGCCGGGATGGAGTAGTGAGAGGGGAGAGAGATGGAGGCGTATGGAATATTCTGGACAATTTTCTGTCTGGGGTGATGAAAACATTCTGAAAATGGGTAGTGGGGATTGTTGCATGACATGGCGAGTGTATTTAATGCCTCTGGATTTATCCTTAAAATGGTTAAAATAGTACATTTTATGCTATGTGTATTTTACTATGATAATATTTTTAAGATATATTCTGGACATAGAACCAACAGGGCTTGCTGACGTGCTGCCTTTGGGGAAGGGAGGTACCGAGAACAGCGCCCAGATTTTTGGTTCAGCACCGAATGGATAATGTGTGATGTGTCACCTAGCTTGCCTCTAGGCTCTGAGGTAAGTGAGGTGGAAAACAAATGGACCTGTGACAGCTATGACCACACTGGGATTATTCCAAGAATCCAAGGAAGAGTAAACATTAGAAAACCTATAAATATAATTCATGATATCAGCAAATCAAAGAAGAAAAACCATGTTTATATCAAGATGCCAGAAAAGTATAATAAAATTCAGCAATCATTTTTTAAAAATTCTAATTAATGGCAGTCACTATGGAAAACAGTATGAAGGTTCCTTAAAAAAACTAAAAATACAGTTACCATATGATCCAGCATATATCCAGAAAAGACAGAAATTCTAATTCAAAAAGATACATGTACCCCAATGTTCACAGCAGCACTGTATACAACAGTCAAGCCAGGGAGGCAACCTGTGTGACCGCCAGGCTGTTGTGGAAATGACAGAAGGTGACGTCCGAGACTAGGTTGTAAAAGACACTGAGGCTCCCAAAGCTTGCTCTCTCTTGATCACTCTCCAGGGAGGCCAGCTGCCATGCCGGCAGGACATTCAAGCAGCCCTGCGGAGACAGTCCATGTGATGAGGAACTGAGACTGACGGCCACCCCAGGGAGCCACTGCGAAAGACTGTCCAGCCGGCCAAGCCTTTAGACGAACCCTGGTTGACATCTTCGCTGAACCTCATGAGATCCTAACCCAATACCATCCAGCATCCAGCAAAGCTGCTGCCAGACTCCTGAGCCCCATAAACTACGTGATATTTATTGCTTTAATTGTCATGTTTTGGGCTAACTTGTTACATAGATAATTAATACAGGGAGTGATGTAAACCAAGTCAGCATTAGGAAGGTAAATCTACGAGGCCTGGGGAGAGAGGCTAGAAGCAGGGACTCTTTAGGAAGTGAGTCCAATGGCCCAAGCAAGAGGTATGAAGACAAGTCTGTGCGTAGCGAAAAGGATGAATGAGAGAAGCACAGAGGAAAAAGAAACACAAAAGGCAGGGGTAGGGAAGAGATTAGTTCTGCGACTTGGAGCTTGGATGCCCTGATAGAAACAGGGACCAAGGGAGGAGCCAAAGGCTGGGAGAGAAACAGCAACGTTTAGAGGAACCTTCTAAGGTGCGAATACTCATTTATTTCCCCCCATTAAGAACCTGAGGCTCAGAAAGGTTCGGTGCTGGGGTTGATGTCCTAGAGCTAAGACCCAAATCCAGATCATGGTACTTCAAGTCCTGCAGTCTTTGTGTTGGGACACAGAAAGTTTGAAGTCCAGTGGACGATGTCCACTAGGGAGGTAAAAATCTGAACCTAAAACTCTCGGAGAGAGAACAGTGCTAAAGACATAGATGTTTACCGTCATCTAGGGAGATGGAAGTAAAGCTACAGTAAGAGATTATCAAGAGACAGAGAACAGAGAGCATGAAAGTCGTAGAAAAGGGAGCATGGATGATGCAGCTCATAAAAATCACCTTTCAAAAGAAAAAAAAATCACCTTTCTACTATGAGTTTGGTCAGAATGGGCTCTTCATACTGGGTGGTATCTTCATTCTGCAGATCATCATTTTTGCACTCTCTCTTGAGTCCTGGTTCTTTGAGCTGCATGTCCAATGGTGGCACAGCACCTGGGGACATACCTTGCCTAGCAGCATTGCCATCTTGTTTGGAAAACTCTGTATAATCGGAGAGAGACGAGGGAGAGCAGGCCAACTTATCCCCTTTTTTATCTGCTCTTTTCTTTTCTTTCACCATTGCCTTTAGAAGACCTAAGGTTTGCTTTATATAGGTAAGTATCAAATGACTCCTTTGGTTGAAAGCTGTTTGTTTCAAGGCGTTGATGAGTTTTACCTGAAAAATAAAAATTATGTCTCGTTTTACAACCCCAATGTCATTATCACTCTCTTCCTACAGCCTGAAAAATTAATTACAAGTATTGAGTCTCACCAGTTTATAAAAATATTATTTCAATATTGCATTGGTTGTTTCCTAAAATTTTTAAAATTGGAACCACCATCTACCACTTCTTTTCAAATAGTGCTCCAGTAAGAAGAGCAATCCTGTGTGTGAAAAATACCGACTTAACCTCTAAAATCTTACATGCCACCAGTTCATACTTTAAAAGCCTGTCTCTTCGTGTGTCAGCATGGCAAAGTGCTCAGGAGCTGCATTGCCCCTTCCCAGCTGTTACCTGAGGTCCTTCTGCTTCAGTTGTCAAACAGGAATAACAGCACCTTTGTCTGGTTATAAGGATGAGATGATGCACAAAATCCCTACGGATCAGACAGTGTGCACAATCAATAATGAAGTGATTATTTTTTCACTGTCCTGTTTTTGAACTTGAAATCATCGGCTACCTACTTCCTAGGACAGCACTACCAGGGTCAAGCAAAAAATCTTGTGCTAATTATTTGCCCAAGGTCTTAGAGCTGAGGCACAGGGCTCCAAAGCCACAGTTTCTGTGGCCTTCCCAAACTGGCCCCACTGAAGACATCCCGGTGCATCAAGCAGGACGCACAGGTGAGTCCCGGAGTGCAAGGCAAGGTCATGTCCGTCGCGGCGCAACCACGGCCTGGGACCCCCGGGACCCCGCGGGGGAGCTCACCTCGCTGGGGACGCCGTGGGACTCCGCCAATCCCAGACGGAGGCGGCGCGGCGACCTGATCCTCCCGGTCTCCAGGCAACCGCAGGCCCCGCCCCGCTCTTAAACGGGCCGCCGCGCGTGCTCAGCCCTTAAAGCAGAGCTCTGAAGCTGGAAGCACCTGACCAGGGTTTTCCCAGCTCTACTAATTGCCGCGCCCAAGGCCTCTTGCAGCCTTTATCTTCGCTGTAACACTAGAATAACTCAGGTGTTACTTTTTCATTATGGCCCTAAACGAATTACCCCAAACTTAGTGGCTTAAAGCAACACAAGTTTACCATCTCACAGTTCTGTAAGCTAGGAAACCACCAGGACTGGTTCCTTTGGCGGCTCCAGGGGAGAATCTATGTCCTTGCCTTTTCCAGTTTCTAGAGGCCGCCTTCCTCCATCTTCGAAATTAGCAACGTTCCTCTCTCTGGCCCAGCTGGGAAAAGTTCTCCACTTTTCAGAAGCAACGGGCTAGACGGGGCCCACCCAGCCAACCCAGGGTACTCGCCCCATCTCACCACCCTTTCCTTACTCACCTGCGGAGCCCCTTGGCCACATAGAGCAGGTTTTCAAGGGTTCTGGGATGAGGACAGGTGGTCTCTGGGGAAGGCCTGCCTCCCACAAACCCCGATATGCGGAGTTCTTGCAAATATTAAATCTTCCGGACAGGTCCACCAGTGCAGTGCTTGCACAAGTGGCAATGACCATTACTTGACTGTCTCCTTACACCTAAGGAATTCTAAGTTTGTAAATGGAAGGAAGCCCACTGTCTGGGCAGAGAGGTCGAGAGAAGGGTGTGGGTGGGAGGCCCACACTGGCCACTGTACCCCAACCGCCATCTGGACCCCGCAGAGGGCATTTTTACTTCCATTTCTAGCAGAGTTCAAATGGGATGAGACTCCATTAAAAACCATTTGACAACACACAGGGATTCTTCTACCTCCAGTACCAGTCAGTAACTAGACCATTTTGCAGTTCACACTCCCAGAAAACCAAACCACAGCATCAAAGTTACAGAAAAATCAAAGCCTTTTATTTCCCCTTGCCTACAACGCTCTTAGCCACCCTGGCTGCAGCGGGGAGCATTTAAAAATAGAGACCCCCCAGGAGTGCCCTGGTGGCCTACTGGTTAGGATTCCGGGCTTTTGCTGCCGTGGTCTGGGTTCAATCCCTGATCAGGGAACTGAGATCCCGCAAGCAGCGCGGCGCAGCCAAAAACAAAAAAAAACAAGAGAGACCTCACCCCGCCTGGTCGATTTCTTCCAGCTGGACAGAGAATATCCCTTGGGTATCTTTGGATTATCTTCTAAATTTAATATGCATCAGGGTTGAAAATGACTAACTCAAAAGGACCATAATTTTCAATTTATGAAGTTAAACCATTATGGGCTTAATCATCATTAAGAGCTGAAAGTGGCAGGCTAAAATACGTCGGGCCAGAGCAGAAGTCTAGGTGACTTCCAAAGTGCTCTCTTTTTGTAAAACATGCTCTTGCTGCTACACCACACACACACACACACACACACGTATGTTCAAATGTGAAGCAAAAAATGTTGCAAGCAATGCTCCATATGGATTGAAAAAGTTCTCAAGATCACTTCTAAACGGATCTGATGCATTTTTAAGCAGCAGGTTCACTGAGAAACAAACCCCAAAATGATTACTTAAAACCCTGCCTTGAAAAACAGAAAAACCTGCAATAAGATCAATAGCTCTTTAAAATGAGAAATGTTAGGGCTTCCCTGGTGGCGCAGTGGTTGAGAGTCCGCCTGCCGATGCAGGGGACGCAGGTTCGTGCCCCGGTCCAGGAAGATCCCACATGCCGTGGAGCGGCTGGGCCCGTGAGCCATGGCCGCTGAGCCTGCGCGTCCGGAGCCTGTGCTCCGCAGCGGGAGAGGCCACAACAGTGAGAGGCTCGCGTACCGCAAAAAAAAACAAAAGAGAGAAATGTTGTCAGTTTTGAGAAATGATGTCCAGATTGGCAATGTGTCTCATGGTGGGCCTTCCGTGGGGACAGTTCCAGGGATGGTCCATCTCCCCCATGTGGGTGATGAGTTTCTTCATCTCACTTGTGTTAAGAGCAGTTCCAATCATCACCTGCATGTGAGACATGATGGCTTACATTAAAGTTTTACTGGTTTTTGGTTAGAAAAGCAACTCTTCAGAAGCCCTGTTCTCTACAAAGAGGCTGGACAAGATTACAACAAAAGCAACAATTCCCTGAAAAGTCCTCCCCCGAAGAATCCTACCCTCTATTATCTCAGCCCTCGGCCTCTTTGTGACATCCAGCCCCTCTGTGGCTCTGTCATGGCAGCACATCCTCAGGAGAGACGCTGACCACTCCCGTCCAGGACCAACCAGTCTCACCCGCTCCACCAGCATCCACATCCCAGCCACCCCGACCTCCCACCATGGCGACTGCAGCGGCCTCCTAATGGGCCTCCCCACTTTCCTCCTTCTCCCTTCAACTCGTCCTCCACTCGCGGCCAGTGATTCCTTTTAAAGGTGCGTCAGATCACGTGGCTCCTCTTCGAAGCCCCGCCCCCCACCTGGATAAAAGCCCAAGTGCATCACCTGACTTGGCCCTCACTGGCCTTAGTGCCCACACCTGCGAGCAAGCAGCCCTTCCGCCCCCACTGCAGCCACACCAGCACCCCCTTGCCTCTAGTACAAGCCCATAACGCGAGTACCTGACTCAGGACCTTGTCACTGGCTGTGCCCTCTACCCAGGATACGCTTCCCTCAGATATCTGCATCTCTCATGTTCCCTCTCCCGCAGGCTGCTGCTCAAATGTCCCTGCCTCCCTGCAATGAAACAGCTCGCCTTGTCTGTCCTCTGTAGCCCTCGGGCTGTGCCTGAGCACCCGGGAGAGGCTACTTCAGTTGGGTGCTCAGGGAGACCCGAGGATGGGAGGGGGCCAGGTGGGCGAAGAAGGCGTGTGGAGCGGGGCATCCAGGCAGAGGGACAGCGGGCGAGGACTTGAGGCGGGAAGGAGATGGTGTGGCAGGCGTGGCTAGAGCCGAGCGTAGCACACGGGGCCCACAGGTGGAGCAGAGGACAGCCCGTCCCCGTCAGCCCGTGTGCTACGCGGAGACAGCGTTGCAGCGCCAGGGACCCGCCAGCGTGGGGACTGAGGAGCGGCCCGTGGCCCCAAAGATCTCTGCGTCACACGAGGACACGGCATTGTGAACACCTGGCCATCAGCACAGGCCAGGCCCAGCTCTGACTCCTACCCCCGACTCCAGGATGGGGAGATCAAGGTTAGGCCTTTATCAAAGAACCATCTGTGGCTGAAGTCAGGTCCGGGGCCCTATTCTCTCATCAAACTCTTGCCTGGAGGAATTTCATCCAACGCCATGGCCGTAACTTAGAAAACCTAAACCTTTCTCCCCAGCACTGACACTTCCCCTGGCTCTGGATTCACTGACGTGACTGTTCTCAGACACCTCCTCTCACGTCTAATAGGATCTCAAATACAACGTGTCTAACAGAGAATGCTGAACCCCACCGCCCCCAAAGGTGAAATGCCACAGCCCTTGCCCCACCTCCCTCATTTCTGTTGTGACACCCTCTCTGTGGTCTCTTTCCCACGGTCACCCTCCAGCACCTCCTGACACGTGCAGCGCAGACACCCAGGTTCGGACCAGGATCCCAAGGACCCTAAGTGGGTCCCCGGACGGGGCCCCACTCCCATCCTGGTCCCCCATCCGTCACACGGGGTCAGCCTCTGGCTTCGCCAAACACCGTGAACCTTTGCACGTGCTATTTCTTCTATCTGGAAAGTTCTTTCCCAAGGGGCTCCAGCTTACCTTCCAAGGGTCAGCTGGGAGGTCACCTCCTCAGACAGCCTCACCGCGACCACCCGCCTCGCTTCCCGGTGCTCACTTCCCACCCCCATACTGTTTTCTTTACCGAACTTGTATCCGAGGCTGCCGTTATTAATGTTATGTCCCTTTCCCCCACTAAACTATAAGCTCCACGAGGGCAAGGACCTCATCTGCCGACCTGTGCCCCCAGCACCCGGACCAGGGCCGGCCACCCAGCGCGGGCTCAAGGGGTCTCTGCTGAGTGAATGAAGGGGTGGGCCAGGGGGTCTCTGCTGAGTGAATGAAGGGGTGGGCCAGATGATGCAAACACACGTGCTCTGCTTTGACATCAGGCTCATCACCTACCACTGCTAGTGTTTTCTAGAACCAGTCTGAGCAGCGGGAGCCAGACAATACGCAGTGCCCGCCCTTGGGGCTCCTGTGAAAAGCGAGCCGACTGCAGGGTTCTGGATAATCTCGTGCAGGGCCCTTGAGGGCTGGCGGCACCTAATCTTTACCCACCAGTGTCATTAATGCCCATAAGGTCCATAGACGAACAACGTGGATACCCAGCTAACTGCGTGGGAGTGACGAAAGCTCTGAGGACACTGCTTCAGGGATGCTGAGAAACAGCAGTAATTATGGGTCGGAGGTCTGACCTAAGGCAGACGTGCAGGGCTTACGTGTTACAATGGCTGAGGACAATGGGACTCTACGTACACAGCCCAGAGCGACCATCACCCACATTTAATAAGGCTGACAAGTCAGGGGCTGAACTGAGAACTTCCAAGGCCCATGAGCTGGAGCAGATCCGCCAGGCTCCTGCAAATAAGCTTTCTTTACTTACAGACTTCCGACAGGCCCTGGAGGCAAACATCTGCCTGACCCGGGAAGGCCGGCACATGACACCGGGGCTGTCGCTCAGCATGAAGATCAGTTCATCTATGTCCTGGGGCCCAAAGGTCCAGCTTTTACTAGTTGGCAAGGAAATCAATTTAGCTCTTTCAGTGACCGGCGCTAAAAGAAGAAAATTTGGAGAAAAAGCCGTCATTTGAAAAATCCGTTTCATTTGGGTGCTATTTGTAAGGAACATCTGAAAGAGAGGGCAGAAGCAAAACGCTTTTGGGGGGAAGCATGTTCATCTCTTATAAAATACGCTGAAGTGTATGACCTCAAAGATCGTTCTTGGGCTTCCCTGGTGGTGCAGTGGTTAAGAATCCGCCTGCCAATTCAGGGGACACGGGTTCGAGCCCTGGTCCGGGAAGATCCCACATGCCGTGGAGCAGCTAAGCCTGTGCGCCACAACTACTGAGCCTGCGCTCTAGAGCCCGAGAGTCACAACTACTGAAGCCCACACACCTGGAGCCCGTGCTCTGCCAACAAGAGAAGCCACCTCAATGAGAAGCCCACGCGCCGCAACTGGAGAAAGCCCGCATGTAGCAACGAAGACCCAACACAGCCAAAAATAAATAAATAAGATAAATAAATTTATCAAAAAAAAAAAAGAACGTTCTCAGCTCTAAAAGGACACAGTTCTACAGTCCTAAGTAATAACTTACCGTCTTCATCGATAACAAAGTCAAAGCCATTCTTTCTGAATATTTCCAGATTTTCTATTAGAACTGCTTCATTGACAGCTGTTAAGTTGAGAGTCTGTGGTCTGAAAAACAGAGACCCCAACTAGACCTTGAAGTCAAACATTTGGCTCTAAAGCAGAAATGAAACTAAAACAACAATTCTGTGATTCTTTGAATTCATTTCAAAAAGCAACACGAATAACATGCTTCCAGCTATGAGCCTCTCCTGTCACAAAACTCCGAGCATTTCCTTTTAACTTTTTTTTAAGTTCTTTTTAGAAGTTAGAGTAACTCCAAAAGTAGTCTGCCTTTCCTCAATCTGCCATACCACCCCAATGACTGTCTTTTAATTCTCTTCTCCAAGATAACGATATGACCTAAAAATGCTACTTTTCCTCCTCACAATAAAGGCAATTTGAAAAGTTGGGTTCGGTCACTACAGACATTTGAAAACAGAAGAAACAGCATCTATTTTGCTATCCTGCTCCTTCTGCTTGCATTCTTTTTTTTTAAAGATTTTTTTTTTGATGTGGACCATTTTTAAAGTCTTTATTGAATTTGTTACAATATTGCTTTCGTTTTATGTTTTGGTTTTTTGGCCCCAAGGCATGTGGGATCTTAGCTCCAGGGATCGAGCCCATACTCCCTGCACTGGAAGGCGAAGTCTTGACCACTAGACTGCCAGGGAAGTCCCCCCTGCCTGCATTCTTTATCCAACCATCTCTCCTCTTGGATTTACTGAGTGCTTAGTAAGACAGACACCGCTAAAGCAGGAGATATAAAGGTGAGCAAACACAGACCCGTTCTCTGCTCTCATGAAACAAACAGTCTAGTGGGGAAAAAAAGACATTGATCAAACAGTCAAACAAACAAATTGTAATTACAAACTACACTGAGAATCAGGAAGAAGAGACACCCAGGGCCATAGGAGCACAGAGCATGTGAGACTTGGCCTGGAGAGAGAGGGCGTCAGGGAAGGCTTCTCTGAGGAAGTGACCTTTGAGCTGAGATCTGGGGCTGAGTGGCAGTTATCAGGTGATGGGGGTGAGGGGTGGGTGCAGGGGCAAGTATTCTAGGCAGAGACAACAGCCTGTAAAAAGGCCCTAGGATGGACCATGGATGTTCCCAGAGCCACACACAAAGATCTGCTTCATTCTGCTTAATGGCTCTGTAGGAATTCATCAGGCCTGTCAAGGGAAAAGGAAGGATGGCCAGAGTATAGAGAACAGGAGAAGAGGGCTTAGGAACAGCTGAAGAGGTCATCAGGGCCAAACTGTGCAGGGCCAGTAGGAAAGGATGCAGTCGTGGTCCTTATCCTTTCATCCTGAAGTGTGATCCACATGGGACCCACAGTGGCCTGTGATTATCCAGGTCAACTTGAAATGCCACAAATGAGACCGTACTTACACCAAATGGCTAAAAAATGAACGACCTCTGTAACAGGGGCAGGAATAGCTCAGTATTATACAGTGGCTCATTCAATGTCCTTACTATTACTACCTACTCCTACTGAAAATAAATATAATTAAGCCATTCTGTAGGATACAGAGTACTCAGCAAATAAACTAGGTATGTTTTCCAGCTGAGTGGCTGTTTTAGTGGTAACTTCTTCATGCTGGGATCTGCTGCCGTTGGGATCTGAGTTAATTACGTAGTTTAATTTCCGAAATGAAAATCCAAGACCTCTCCTTACGACTTCGCTTAAGGAAAGACTTCTGGTTTATATGCTACACCATCACACCACCTTGTAAAATGGTCAGTGTAAAACATTCAATTTGGCAAAAGAGAGATAAATACCAAATTCTGCAGTGACTAATCACTGGTATCGCTCTACCACAGCTGAGGACAGACACACAGGCACTGCTGACCTTCTGAACGTGTGAATTCCATGTACTCTAAGTAGATATACTCTGTACTATAAATTGCTCTTCATCAAAAGGATTTTCTGGCCAACCAGTGATCAGCATTTTTGAACAGCTTAAAAGAGCTTTAAGTATCTTTTGATACTTAAAGAATCCATTAGCTGTGTGACCTTGGGCAAGTTATTAAACGTCTCTCAGTTTTATCACCTGTGAGATGTTGGTGGTAATACACAGCAACTACTTCAAACGTTTGTGAGGATTAAATATAAATTGCTTCAACAGCGCCTGGCACCAAATAAGCACTCCATAAATGGCAGGTATGACTATTATTAGGCAAAAAGTGTAAAAATCTGCTGTAAGGATACGTACAGCCAAAAAATACAGATAGATAGAGAGGTATAGATAGGTTTAGACAGAGATAAAGATAGGCACACTTATAGCTAAGAGATCTTAAATTGGGGGGATGAAACAACACTGAAGACTCTGAACACTGAAATGAACTTACGCTATGAGCCTTTGACCCTGGAGAACTGTGTGCTGCTGAAGCATCTCGAAGTTGTATTTCTCATCCGTGGCATGCTGGTCCACTATGAAGATATCTGCGTTCAGTTTGGTGATGATAAATCCCAAGTTAAACTGACCAATGATTTCCATTTCTGCAAACATCGTTTTGCTACATGTAGAAAATGTTAATTAGAAGACATTTTAATTTCTTTTATTGTCTGCGCTGCACAGCTTGTGGGGTCTTAGCTCCCTAACCAGGGATTGAACCCACACCCTTAGCAATGAAAGCACGGAGTCCTAACTGCTGGACTGCCAGGGAATTCCCATTTTAGAAGACATTTTAAAAGATTCCTTCTCTGCTTATAAAACACTAATAAAAAAGTACAAAAACATAAAATAGACAAAGTCCCTAAAAATCCTACTTTCTAAGGATAACATTATTCATTCCTCCAATTCTCCAGGTGACATTAGTTACTACTATTAATGATTTGGTCCATATCCTTCCAGACCTTTGACTATACACTGTTTAAAAAAAAACAAAAAACAAAAATGGGGCTTTCCCGGTGGCGCAGTGGTTGACAGTCCGCCTGCAGATGCAGGGGACATGGGTTCGTGCCCTGGTCCGGGAAGATCCCACATGCCGCAGAGCAGCTGGGCCCGTGAGCCATGGCCGCTGAGCCTGCGCGTCCGGAGCCTGTGCTCCGCAACGGGAGAGGCCACAGCAGTGAGAGGCCCGCGTACCGCAAAAAACAAAACAAAACAAAAAATGGAATCAATTCTTCATACCGTTTCACTCTCATCACTTAACAATGCATCTCAGATATTTTTTCAGACCCACAGAGACCTACTTCATTCTTTTTAATGTCCATGTAGGAACTCATTATGTGGATGTACCAATTTGTCTGACAAATTCTCTACTAAAGGACACTTCAGTTGTATCCATTTTAAGAAACACAAACAAAGGTGCAACATCCCTCTACATAGATCTTCTCTACTGTGGATGTATCTGTATGATAAATCCCTAGATGTGTTATTATATATGTACACTTTACTTTGATAGGAGATCTATAAAAGTTTACACTCCCACCAATATGTACAGTTGTCCCTGGGTATATGCAGGTGATTGGTTCCAGGACCCCCAGGATACAAAAATGCCCAGATGCTCACGTCCCTTACATAAAATGGCACGGTACTTGCATATAACCTATGCACATCCTTCCCATATACTTTAAATCATCTCTAGATTACTCATAATACCTACTACAATGTCAATGCTATGTAAAATAGTTGCTAGCACGCAGCAAATTCAAGTTTTGCTTTTTGGAACTTTCTGGAATTTTTTTAAATTTTCGATCTGCAGTTGCAGAACCGGCAGATACGGAGGGCTACCTGTATACGAGTACATTTCTGTCAATAGTGGATATCGATCCTTCTAATGGGGAGCACCCCCTACCCCCTGCCCACCCCAGGCTGAGCTTCAGACTTTGTTGGAACAGGCGTGGCTGCATTTCATTCATTTATGAATGAAAATAAGTTGGTTGGAGTAGCAGGGTGAGCACTGCTGGGCCTCCTGACTGCTGCCAGTGGCTGCCTTGTAGGAGGAAAAGACAAGGGCATCACAGGGGCAAAAGAGAAGCCGCGGCTCCTGCTGTCTTGCAGTGTCCCTCCAGCGCCCCCTGCTGATCAAGTCTAACAGTGCACCAGGAGAAATGCTTACATGGTTCAGCCTCCAGGACTGCAAAGCAGGGCAAAGGGTGGATTTGGAACTGAGAGGCAATAAACTGGTAATTGGCACAAATACCAACTCCCTGGCTCTGACTGCTCTTCCAGGAACCGCCTGAGTCTGGTCCGGTTCCTCAGGCAGATTGCCCATGGGAAGAACCTGTGCCGGCCTGAAGACCCGGGTCTTCTGTGTCTTCGGCAGGTGTATCTTCCACCATAAACTAGAACCTAGCATCTGGCTTAAAGAAACAAAGTTTTACAGCTTGGTATATTTAGTTATAATTCAAAATGCAGAAACAGGAGCTGGTAAACACAACCTCAGTATCTTCACTGCTGCCTAACCTTTAGCTCAATACTTTTTCCTGTGCTTCTCAGGAAAACATAAACCTCATCAGGCAAATAGCTCAGAAGTACAGCCAATCCAACAGCCGTGCCCTGAAAGCCAGAAGCCAATGCCAGACCCTTGTGGATCAGCTTCTCAATGTGACCTTCTGGGGTACTTGTCAAAAATGCTGATTCCTGGGCTCCACACCCAAGACCCGCCAGATCTACTAAGGCAGAAACACTGGAATCCGGCCATACATAGGTCCTGCTTGTTTATTAACAAGCTCTCCAAGTGATTCTTAGGCATACCAACGTTCAAAAACCATGGTAACAGGTGAGCAATACATGTTTGCAAACTTAATTAAAATCTCTATTTAAAAATATTTAAGGAACCTGGCTCTCTTCACTGGCTCCCTCCGAGTTCACAGCCAGAGAGGTTCATTTCCATTAATTACACACCTTTTAAAAGAAATAAAGGTTCCTGAAAACCCTTCTCCGTGTAAGCTAGGCACTGTGAATAACAAAGAAATTATATAATACTCGGTGAAGAATTTATAACTGAAATCAGGCAAAGCCTGTGTGGTCCAGGCTAAAAGTGCTATAAAAATGCAACGTACTTGCTGAGTTGCACTGTGCACAGCACATTTCAGTAACTGGTGACACAAAGACAAAATTTAAAAAAAAAAACTATTTCAAAAGAATTCATCATTTTTAAGAGTCACAATGTTGGACACGACTACTGTCAAGAAAGTGCTGGTGACCAGTGTTTGCTATTATCTGTATTGTGAAGATTTTTCTTTAAATTGACTTTTTTACTTAGCCCTATCTGATGCAATCTTCTTGAAATCATAGCTTTGATAATGCGATAAGTTTTCCTCATACATGTTAAAATGGAAAGATGGGAAATAGCAATGTTCCCCAAAGCTGCCCTGAATTCAATGCAGGGAGAAGTCACCATGGGCTGAAACCCTCCAGGAAAAGGAATCAAATTGGGGTGAAGAAGGCCTTGATTGATTTGGACCCGATGGAAAAGATGTGCAGAGAAAACCTAAGGAAAAAAATTCCTGTAAGATTTCAGGCTGCAGAACTGTCTGGTCAAAGAGTTCTTTAAAGAAAATTAATGTGATGGATGTGAGAGGCAAGGAAAAGAAGTTGGCGAGTGGAAAAAGTTGTTACCTTATCTCTTTTCTTAGTTCATCTTCTGCTGCTTGATTTTCTCCAGGGCAAATCTTTGCCCGAAACTTCCTATAATTTTGTCCACCTTCTTGTTGCTGTTCTTGCTGACATAACTGCTTTATTCGTTTGGCTAAAGAGCTCATAGAAAAGTCAAGGGGCACTATTTTCTTGTTAATTTCAACAGCTACATCCACCTCGGACGCTGAGGCGTTCCGGGTTTTCATGGACTCTGGAGGGACATCGGGATTCAAAGGAACCCCTTCTTTTCTAAAACGCTTTGCGTTTGGGGATGAGAGATGAGTTGGCTGCAGCGAAACTCTAGCTCGGGAGCTGTTTTCTTCGTGGTCTAAGTGGCAATTCATGCCCGAAAGACGATGGTCCATTTCAGGTAACTTCTCCAAAGACTCCACATTTTCTTGCGAAAACCCATCTTTGGGGGAGCTTGCCACATGGTCACTGCTGGGCTGGCTGCCCGTTTTTGGGGTGCTGGACCCCTCCTCAGAGCCGGCAGATGCGCTGCTGTGCCCCCAGCCCTCCTCCGTGTCCACTCTGCCCGTCGGGTCACAGGGCTCCTGAGTGGAAGTCACCCCTTCCTCCCGAGGTTCAGAGATGTGCTTCCAGGAGCAGAGGGGCCCTGAAGCGCTAGGAAGTGGGGTGCTGCTTTTCTGTCGTGGAGAAATCCGTCTTGGGTCGGCGGCCTTCGGACCCCGAGACCTATTCTCCACTGTGTAACGAAGGGAAAAGGCCTCTCTCAGTCTGGAAATGGTCACTGCCCTTTTCTCTTCCCCACGAGTCCTTAACGGGGCGGGATCATCCTGCTTCTCTGGCACGGGCTTCTCCACCTCTGCCGAATGCCTTTTTATTAAGTGACCTAAGCAAATGTGAACAGAGAAGGGCATCAGGGGCTGCGCAGAAATAGAATAAGGGGATACTTTTACGTGAACGGGCACTTCACAAAAGAGGAGCTCCGAATGGCCGGTCCAATGTGTGAACACAGTTCTACGTGAACCATAAAGGAGACATGAATTAAAACCACAATGTGATGCCACTATATACTCATCAGAACAGTTAAAATTTTTAAAAAAATGTTTACAAGGCTGAGGATCAAATGGGATGCTTAAATACTGCTGGTGGTGTTGAAATTGGTACAACTGCTTTGTAAAACTCTCTGGGAACATCTAATCTGAACATGCACACCTGTGACCCCGCACTGCTATCCTACCAGAAATGTCTACCTGTGCTGGCCTAAACCATGGATGGGGATATTCGTGACAGCTATATTCATGGCAGCCCAATCCTGGAAACCACCCAGTTGTCCACAAATAAGTCGTGGTATTTAAATACAACAGAATACTGCACAGCAACGAGAATGAATAAATGAACTGTCACACAGGACTTGGATGAATCTCACATACAAAATATTGAGAGAGAAACCAACGATGGAAAAATGTAAATACTGGATGCCTTCAAATTAAAAACAGATAAAACGAATCCATGGTGTTAGACGTCAGGAAAACGGCTCCCACCGGGGGTTAGTGTCTGAAAAGGGGTACAAGGGTGGTTCTGCGGGTGCTACTTCCTGATCTCAGCGCTGATACGCTCACGACACATTTGCTTCTGTGTGGATGCTGTACTTCGACGAAAGGGCTAAGAAGAAGGCGTCGATTTGACTGTGCCTCAAGATGCAGAGATAAGTTGAGCAGTTTCTCTGTATGGGGTGGCCTCTCTGGCCACGCACGTGCGCACGCGTGTGTGCGCTTGCGTGCGCTCAGAGCTGCCACCTCCGGCCCATTCCACACAGACGTGATGCTCCCTACCATCCTCCGCCCCACACCCCGCCCCCGCCCCGGGCCCGTGCGCGCGCATGCGCACACACGCACGCACGCAGCCATACTATCCCATGCAGGGTGGGTGGCAGAGATGTGAGGTCAGTAGCTCGGCCGCACTCGTGGCAGTGGTCCTGTGCGCCTCTCCCACCACCCAGCAGCCCCGCCCCACCCTGAGGAGCTTGTGTCCCCACCATACTCTCCGACTGTCACAGCTGCCGACCGTGGCACTTGATGAGAGCACACCTGTCTTCCAAGTCAGCCTCTCCGCCCCCCAACCCCAGGGGTGTTAGGAAAAGGGAGGACAGAGCCACTCTGGGTCCCGCGCCTCCTCTTAACCCCTGGCTTTTGGCTCCTGGTACCCTCGGGTTATGAAGCCTCATCCCGGAACGACTTCCTCCCATTGTCACCTGAGCTTTCCACCAAACGTATTTTCAGCTTCCTGAGCTGCCCTCTGGTCTTTTCCCCCCGCCGGAGTACACAGTGACTGGGACCTGCCACCTCCGTCTCTGCACAAACATACGTGGAGCTCGGGGGTAGGTTGGCCTAGAGAAAGGTATCCACCCCAAGGAGCGGATCTGGCTGTCAGAAGGGGTAGCCAGCTCCTGCCTCGCTACGGAAGGCTGCTGGGCTCAGCTGTGGACGCCTCCCTGCAAGGTGCCCCGGAAGCACTTAGCTTGGAGGCAAAAGAATAAAACCAACTATTTAAACGAAAGGCTGCTCACTCAGGATCAGGAAGTAAAACAATGATTGTGCATATTTTTACAGAGGTCAAACCAGCTTTGGGCCAAGTCTCATCTCAACATGCCACTCAGTGATGAATGCACAGGGGGGACGTGAGGGAAAACAGCAGAGTAAGGGCCCCCCCAAATTCCCTACTCCATAAAAGATAGGAGAAAACGGGTAAAAATGGTCAGAATCAACTTTTTCAGAACTCTGGAAATTAACAAAAGGCTTGCCAAGATCGGGGAGTGTTTTTGTTTGTTTGGTTTTTGGTTTTGGCCACGCCGCCTGCCTTGCAGAATCTCAGTTCCCCACCCAGGGATTGAACCCAGGCCCTGGCAGTTTAAGTGCTGAGTCCTAACCAATGGACTGCCAGGGAATTCCAATGGGGGCGTGTTTATTGAAAGGAGAATGGGTGAGTCTTGGTAAGAATGCAGCCCTGGGTGATCCAGATTACCTTAAATCTGCAGCTACGTACTTTCTAGGGTGACACATCCTCTCTGAGTTGGCCATTATCCCCTCTGACAGCCAGATCCACTTCTTGGGGCAGATACTCCTCTAGGCCAGCCTGCCCCCCATCTCCATGTCTATTTGTGCACTGTGCAGAGATGGAGGTGGTAGGTACCCATCAAAATCTGACAGATTTTGTTTCATGCCAAAAAAAACTTTGCCTCCGAAAGAATAAGGAAAGTATCACAACAGCTACAAGTTTTAGAAGCTGTTTATACACGTGTGTTTCTCTTACCTTCGACGTCAAACAGTGGCTGCTGACTGACGTTGAGTTTGTTAACATCACTATCGAACATTCCTATCAAAGACGTCTTTAAAACTGCCAACAAAAGCTTCTCCTCCTGTAGTAAAATTTGCCTTTTATCTGGAGTAACGTTGATGTCGACACATTCTAAAGCAAAATAGAAAAGATGCCAATTGTGTTTAAGTTCACGTTTAACAAGAGAGATTTCCCCATCGCCTATTTTATTCACTTGCACTTGCCAAAAGCCATGTCCAGATTCATATTCATACTATAAAACTAGCCCTTTCAAATAAACAAGGAAAAGATGAATAATTTTTTAAACAGATGAAATATGCAAGCATTTGAGTAGGTAAATTGCAAAAGAAAAAAAGCAAATAAACCCATGAAAAGGTACGATAAAATTGCAAACTAAAATGTCATTTTTATCATCTATTGAATCTGGTTAAAAATTATAATACCTAGTACATTGTTGGTAGGTGTGTAAATCGGTATAACAGGATCCCATTTACTGACCCAATGATTCTACTTCTAGAAATTTATCTTAAAGGAATAATCAAAAACATAGGTAATGATTTATCTATAAGAACAGTATTTAAATTTCTAAAAACTGAAAACAACTAAAATAGGCACAAACATAAAAGTTTACAATCAAGATATATCCACACATTGAAATACAATACAGCTATTAAAATCATGTTTCTGAATAAACTTTAATGACACGGAAGAGAAAATGTTCACATCTAAGGATAAAGAGCACAAAATTACCCAAAATTATTTTCTCACTCCAAAAAATATGGATATATCATTAAATATATATATTTTTTAAGGTGTGCACATATATATTTCTAAGCACCTAAAAAAATACATAAACCATAATATTAGCAATCAGAAGAAAAGTATCTACATGAAATGAGTTATTTTCAAAATCAGGGAGAACATTTAGTCTACTTTCTCCCTCGGCTGACGTGAAAAAGTCACATTTTTCCGAACAATACAATTAATGTAGTTTCAAGTAGAAAGCAGGAGATATATATTCTGTATAAAAAATAAAAGTCTAAAAAGATTTTTTTTAATTAAAAAAATTTTTTTAAGTCTATAAAAATATATGTCACCATTAATTGTTGCTATAAAAGTCTCTTTCTGGTCATATCAGAGCTTTATAATCTCATTTTATTCTTTTAGGAGTAAGTCACCAGGGACTTCCCTGGTGGTGCAGTGGTTAAGAATCCACCTGCCAGTGCAGGAGACACGGTTCGATCCCTGGTCCGGGAAGATCCCACACGCCATGGAGCAACTAAGCCCGTGCGCCACAACTACTGAGCCTGCGCTCTAGAGCCCACAAGCCACAACTACTGAAGCCCGTGCGCCTAGAGCCCGTGCTCCGCAACAAGAGAAGCCACCACAATGAGAAGCCCGCGCACCGCAACAAAGAGCAGGCTTCGCTCGCCGCAACGAGAGAAAGCCCATGTGCAGCCTGAAAAAAAAAAAAAAGGAGTAAGTCACCAATTTTACTGAAATGTCAGTGGAACTTACCCAAATCAACAGAAATGTTAAGAACAACAAATGGATACTGATGCCGGTTATACATGTGATAGACCTCATTCACAAGTCTGGAAACCTATACAAAAAACAAAGATTAGAAAAGAATAAATGTTTCCTTCCCCCAGTTTCTAATAACATGCTACTCTAACCAACCGTTAAAAGGATACATTTTGAACAGCTTTCTTGAGGTATAACTGGCCTAAAACAAACTGCACTTAAAGTATACAATTTGATAAATTCTGACATATATAAACACCCACGAACCCATCCCCACAATCAAGATAATGAAGATATCCATCACCCAAAAAAAGTCTCCTCTTTCCTCTCAAAGGGGTATCTTTTTTTTTTTTAAAGGTGTATCTCTAATCATAGATTCATAAAACTGAATCTTTTTCCATACTCAAGATGCTCTTAAAGAAATGTCAATAAAATGAGGTGCGGTTTAAATGCTCATAAAACATTCAAATGTACACAGAAATGTATTTATATGACTTTATAATGAGATTATTAAATGGCATTAGGGATAAGCCATAAAATCACACCAATTACAATATAGGTTAAAAATTTAGAAGCTGAGGGACTTCCCTGGTGGTCCAGTGGTTAAGACTCTGTGCTCCCAATGCAGGGGGCACGGGTTGGATCCCTGGGTGGGGAACTAAGATCCCGCATGCTGCATGGCGCAGCCAAAAAAAGAAGAAAAAAAGAAAAACTTCTACGCTCCATACGCTAAAAAATATTAAAAAGAAAAGAAAAGAAAAATAATAGAAGCTGAACCATATCTGGCTGATAGAAGTAATTTTGGGGAATCGCCTGGTGGTCCAGTGATTAAGACTTGGCACTTTCACTGCTAGGTATAATGTTGATGAAGATGCAAAGTCAAAACTGACCACTAAAAGTGCTGTAATCAAGATGATCAGTTTAAGTTTGAGGCAGAAGTAATCTGGGCCCTTATTTTCCTGGAAAATGGACAGAACAAAGAGAAAATACAAAAGCATACGCATGTGTGTCAGTCTATACCAAATAGTCTAGATAATGGTGAATGTTTTAAAATGTTTACTTTCTTCTAATAGTGATACTTTTTACGATAATAAATATATTGGTTATTAATATGTGTCCATATGTATGCACATATATATAATTGAAACCACTGTATGGTAGGTGTTTTTAAATGCCTAAAATAAGATGATTTATAGATAACCAACAAAGGATCTACTGTAGAGCACAGGGAACTGTACTCAATATTCTGTAATAACCAAAATTGGAAAAGAATTTGAAAAAGAATAGACACATGTGTACGTATAACTGAGTCACTTTGCTGTACACCTAAAATTAACACAACACTGTAAATCAACTATGCCCCAATATAAAATTAAAAAATTTTTTAAAAAGAAATTAACAGCAAGACATTTTAAAGATATTTTTAAAAATATTTTAAAATATTACAAAAAAAAATATTTTAAAATGACAATATAACATTGTTAAAATAATATCAATATATTTGCATAAAAAACATGTTTCTAGAATAAAATTGATTAGAAGAATGAAAAAAAAGATAAAGTAATGTTTCTGAGTCAAAGTCCCAAGTTCCATGTAAATTGCCTGTGTCAGAAAATGTTATTTAATAAAAAATAAAATTAAAACTAAAAGCTAAAAGAAAAAACTAATCCCCCCATATTTTGAAATACCTTTGCTGGGTCACAAGGCCGCCGATTGATAAAGAAAAACTGTCTGTCCGTTGAACTTCTTCCCACGCCGTGAGCACAGTGAGAAATAAAACCTGAGATACTGTTCAATGTTAATGCCATTAGGGCAGGATTCCAGAGCAGAAAGGATCAGACACACATCAAACGGCACATTCTCAAAGTGAAAAATAAAAACATAACCCCTGGTGACGAGCTGACAAGTATTAACGTTTCAGGTAACGTGTATCTGTGCTCCATTCTGGTGAATCATTAAGGAACACAGACCCTCTGGAATGTTCCAAAGCTCCCATCATTGACAAATCCTCCATGGGCAACCCAGCGGGTTCAAAACTGATTCGTTTCAGCTCTCACTTCCCCTATTAAATCCCTGGCCTCCACACAAGGAGTGGGTCTCACCCCACACTCACATTCTAGAACCTTCGTGCAGTCCCCACCAAGCTGTCCAGGGAGCCCACGGACCTGTATCCAGGCTCTTTGCCCACATTCCCCGCCTTTTCAAAATCTGTTCTCTTGGGATTTCCCTGGAGGTCCAGTGGCTAAGACTCCGCACTTCCAGTGCAGGAGGCGCAGGTTCAATCCCTAGTTGGGAAACTAAGATCCGTAAAGTGCGGCCAAAAAAATAAATATAAAACATAAAATCTGTTCTCAGTTAGCAAACTTCTATCTCCTATGGCATTGGTTAAGGGCTTCACCTGAGATTTACCCCAGGGATATTTGAGTTTCCATAAGAATGATACCTTAGCATAAAAAATGAATCCCCGGGCTTCCCTGGTGGCGCAGTGGTTGAGTCTGCCTGCCGATGCAGGGGACGCGGGTTCGTGCCCCGGTCCGGGAAGATCCCACATGCCACGGAGCGGCTGGGCCCGTGGGCCATGGCCGCTGAGCCTGCGCATCCAGAGCCTGTGCTCCGCAGTGGGAGAGGCCACAACAGTGAGAGGCCCACGTACCGCAAAAAAAAAAATGAATCCCCATCTTTAATTTCAGGGATAAGCCAAATGCAAGTGGAGGGAGGGTAAGCAATATGGGCCCAATTCTGCTTATGGAAAAATGTCTATTTTTCTTACACTAAAAGTAGTGATGCTGGATTGGATTCTGGGTAAGGCACGAGTTAAAGGAAAAGCGCCTCTATCCCTCTATGCCAGGCCCTGACAAAGTGAAACATTATACATAATTTAAGAGTTATTCTAATTGTTCACTAAACAGAGCCTCTTCTACAAACGCTAATTTAATAAGAAACCCCCTAAAATGCACCAGTTACCCAGAATACTGCTTACATTAAGAACCTGACTCCTCCATATAAATCCTCTTTCTCAGCAATAATACTGCCTACAGTTTATAATGGACATAAGAAACTATAAGCTTTAAAATCATAATCTTTAAAAACAAAACCAAAGAAAAAAAAAACCCAAAAAAATTGTTTGATCGTAATTTTCCTGGCACCAATTAACTTACCAAAACAGGTTATGCAGAGCCTGGGAAGAGCTCAGCCCGTATTCTTCACGGACAGTGTCACTAGGGGGCAGCTGCACAAAAGGGATGAGGCTTTGCAACTGAAAGAAATCAAGGTTTACAGTTATTTCCTAATAAAGCAAGAACCGGCCTGACTTCAGAAAGGAAGATATAATGAAGGTTTTGTGTGTTTTCCTTCCTAGCCAAGCTATCCACATTAAGAGGACAAAGAATCTCAATAGTTGCATCTTGCAGTTCTATAATAAATAATTTTGATTTATTAGCAAGATGAAACACTTGTGCTCCTACTTCTCCATAAACAATACATTGCCCACAATACTTTTTTTTCAAGGAGAGAGTAAAAGGATTATTTTAAAACTTGCAGCTCCTAACATTAATTTTTGTGATAGGGATGTAGTTTAAAAAAGAAATCAATTCTTAGAATTTATTCTTTATGCTATTGGAAAGGACAGTAGAAACCTGCCATAATCACTAGAGCAATAAAGTGTTTTTAAACAACTAGCCACCCAGTTTTTTGTTTTAGAATGATTATTTTCATTGCGTGGTGGTGGAGGGATAAGAGTGAGCTTCGGTCTAGAGGCTAGGAGATCAGTGATAAGACTGCCGGAGAGCTCCAGGTGAGATATTTGTGCACCTGAATCAAGAAAAAAAACAAAGGAACAGGCCACCACTACCTGTTTCTGCCCAAATACAGATCCGATATTTTCCTTCATGCTGGAGCCTCCACTGGTGCACACCACAGGCTGCCTCTTACCCTGTCCAACCTGATTGGTGCAACTTACACGGACGCCCGCTGAAATGATACAGTAGGCGTGTAAGACCTGGACCATCTTGGAGAACTCCTGTTTAAAAAACACAAACGCAAGGACTCAATGTTACTTCAATCTTACAAGCAGCTCATGATTCAAGTTATACAGTCAATTCAAGGTTCTCATATCATCTCACAAATAAGGCAAATTATTCCTGACAGAATGATCCATGAGTTGAATCTCCCTACGTGGTATCAAAGGGAAATCAGAGAATAAGGTTCTTGACCACACTTTCCTCATTTCCAAAGTGTCCAGGCCTTCTGCTCTAAAAATCGAGAAGTACGTTCCCTTTGACCTTGAAATTCCTCCTCTGGAAATTTATCCTTGTAGAAAGACTCGCATAAACAATCAAAGATCTATTATGAAAGGGCTTCCCTGGTGGCACAGTCGTTAAGAATCCGCCTGCCAATGCAGGGCACACGGGTTTGAGACGTGGTCCAGGAAGATCCCACATGCCACAGAGCAACTAACCCCGTGTGCCACAACTACTGAGCCTGTGCTCTACAGCCTGTGAGCCACAACTACTGAGCACACGTGCCTAGAGCCCGTGTGCCTAGAGCCTGAGCTCTGCAACAAGAGAAGCCACCACAGTAGGAAGCCCGCACACTGCAACGAAGAGTAGCAGCCCCCGCTTGCCACAACTAGAGAAAAGCCTGCACGCGGCAATGAAGACCCAACATAGCCAAGCATAAAAATAATTTAAAATTTTTTTAAAAAAAGATATATTATGAAAATGTTCATTGAAACAATCTGTAATTGTGAAAAATTATAAACAACCTAAGCAACCATCAACCAGGGACTAATTAATTACAGTATATCCACATAATGGTGCCATGATAAAAAATAAGGTAGTTACCAATCGACCAAAAAAAGGTATCTACAATATACTATATTAAAAAGTCAAGGTATAGAACAGTATATATAATATGATCCCAATTGTTTAAAAAAAATAGAAACATATGTATAAAGATTGTATATACATGTATGCATTTAAAGTCTAAGGGATATAGGGACTTCCCTGGTGGTCCAGTGGTTAAGACTCCGCACTCCCAATGCAGGGGGCCCGGGTTCGATCCCTGGTCAGGGAACTAGATCCCACATGCTGCCGCAACTAAGAGTTTGCATGCTGCAACTAAAGACCCTGCACACCGCAACTAAAGATCCCGTATGCTGCAACAAAGACCCAGATCAGCCAAATAAATAATAAATACTAAAAATTAAAAAACTAAAAAATAAAGTCTAAGGGATATAAACCAAACTCTGGGAGACAGGCAGAGACAATACCAACTTTCTACTGCATACAATTCCATGTGACTTAAATGTTTAATATTCTATGTCACTTGATTTCATTTTTTTTAATATTTATCTTGAAAAATTTTCCAAGATTTATAAATACATGAAACTAAAAGGAGTCTGGAAAGATTCACCAAACTGTTAACAATGGTCATCTCTGGCAAGCACAAGTTCTTTATGCCTATATTTTCTAAGACACCAATTTTTTTTTACCATAAGATACAAAATAATAATAATTTTCTCTGTACAAAAATTTTTTAATATTTAAATTAAAAAACATTTTAAAAGTTTCCTGTATTTTTCCAAAATTAATAAAGCTATAACTCGCACAAATTGTTTTAAAGGTAAAGAAAGTTTTTAGCAGCAGATGTAACGTTTAAGTAACGTATTTGATTATAAAGAATATAGGTACAAAACAGAAAGGTACAAGGAAGATGGCAAAAAGCACAAGTGATCGCACATCCAAGAATAACCGCTGGTAGCATTCATGCGTCTACTCTCCCAGGCTTTTTTCTATGCATATTTTGGCCAGTTGCTTTGTTTTTACAAAACTGTAATCACACACACACGTATGATTATATGTGTATATATATATATATGATTACGTATATACACATGTACGTATACACATATATAGACAATTTATAACTGCTTTTTAAACACAATTATATAAAATTTATCGTTTTCATTTTCATTCCAATTCATAAAACTTGTAATGATTCACTTTTCAGGAAGCCAAGAAAAATGACCTTATTAAAAATAAAGATAGAATCAAAAAATAATGCTTGTCTTAAAAGACTCATTTCCCATATTAGAAGACCTCATAAACACAATTTGATGATTCTTTTCAAGAAGAGAAAAGGGCAGCTTCCCTGGTGGTGCAGTGGATAACAATTCACCTGCCAATGGAGGGGACACAGGTTCGAGCCCTGGTCCGGGAAGATCCCACATGCCATGGAGCAACTAAGCCCGTGCACCACAACTACTGAGCCTACGCTCTAGAGCCACTGTGCCACAACTACTGAAGCCCTCACACCTAGAGACCGTGCTCTGCAACAAGAGAAACTACTGCAATGAGAAGTCCACGCACCGCAATGAAGAGTAGCCCCTGCTCGCCGCAACTGAAGAAAGCCCATGTGCAGCAACAAAGACCCAACGCAGCCCAAAAAATAAATAAATAGATAAATAAAATAAACAGATTAAAAAAAAAAAAAGGGTAAATCACCCAAAAGTTAGGTCTTTGAGGAGAAGAAGCAAGCTAAGCACTTCTCCAAAAATCAAGGGAAGAGAATGAACGGGAGTGCAAACCACCCTGAGTGATCTTGGACTACATTTGGGCATCACACTCTCTAGGCTCTCGGATTCTGAATTTACCGTACCTTTCGTTTTTTAATTAATTAATTTACTTATTAATTTATCTATTTTTTGTCTGCACTAGGTCTTTGTTGCTGCGCCCAGGCTTTCTCTAGTTGCGGCGAGCAGGGGCTACTCTTTGTTGCGGTGCGTGGGCTTCTCATTGCAGTGGCTTCTCTTGCTGCAGAGCATGGGCTCTAGGTGTGTGGGCTTCAGTAGTTGTGGCACGTGGGCTCAGTAGTTGTGGCTCACGGGCTGTAGAGCACAGTTGTGGTACATGGGCTTAGTTGCTCCGCAGCATGTGGGATCTTCCCGGACCAGGGCTCGAACCCCTGTGCCCTGCATTGGCAGGCAGACTCTCAACCACCGCACTACCAGGGAAGCCCTCTACCGTACCTTTTTAATATTCCTTTGAAACTCCTTATGGCGCACAGGTAGCGTATAAAATAACTGCTGCACGCTGACTGTCGTCCCTCTGGGTCGTGGGTAGGGGGTTTTCTGGAGGATTTTTCCATTGTGATCAAACACCAGTCGAGTCCCAACCTTCGCAGATGTGTGGCAGGTAGAAATAGTTACATCACTGTACAAAAAAGCCAGCAGAGCACAGTCAGCTAGAGACTCCCAGGTGCTGGTCATCACGTGCTCATTTTCTCACTTCTGTTCTCTCTAAACTCCCCTAAAAAGGTGATGATCCCTCCGAGATCATCAAGAGAGTTTAAATGGGTGAGGAGTCATCATAAAATCCAAGGTTTGGCCCAACAGAGAGTGAGAGAGTTCTGTAAATGTTTTGTTTTGATAAAAGCTTTGATACTTATTTTGGTTAAACTGCAAAATAAAAGATCTCAAAACTTATGTATTCACCAATAAAGATTTATTTCTCAGTTTGGCTACTACTGTTCTAACAAAATCTTAGAAGCTGTTGTGTAATTAAATAAGTGCTTCAGCTAAATTTTTTCCTCAACGTCAAAATAAATTAAAACCAATAGCATATGGCGTCTATAATGTATTATTTATACCTTACTTTTAAATTGAGAAGTTACTGCCTTAATAAGGGTAACAACTTTTTTACAGTATTATTTGCTCCATTTTGTTCATGCATTGCTTACATTTCAGAAGTGTTACCACTTAGGTCGGTAGTAAGATAAAACAGAATGCAGAAATCAGTAGTGGAGACATTCAGATGGAAGAGTGTAAACAACAATGATTCCAATCATACTTTTCAATTTTCAGAGAGATTTTTATAAGGGGTCCAGTTAGTGGATAAAATTATTGCATCACCTCAGTGCACAGAGTGAGCTCAGAGCTTCGCCCCGAAAGCCAAAAGTTTCAACCTGAGTGAGGTCAGCAAACTCCTGAATCTTAGAAGTGTGATGCTTCAGAGCTGAAAGAGAGGTGGAGAGTAAGGCCGAAGAGGTCGCAAGTGATACAGCAATGAACACACACAATACCCACCCAAGTGACTGGTTTTAAAAAGCTGTTTTGTGTTTCCTAACACAGGGTTACCCCAAATGCTCAGACATTTGGCCCAAATATTTTAAAATAGGATTAGCAAAATGCAACTTACTTAAGCCTTCAAAGTTTTCTTCTTCTACCCCGCATCCGTTGTCTGAAACTTCAATGAGCTCCGCCCCATAGTCTTTAAGCCTGAGCTCTAGAAAGTTTAAAATATTGATTTCTCAAATTGATCCATGCAAAAAGGCTTTACAGTGACAGTATTTATAACTTACAAAATGCAACTTTGAGTCCTAACTATATTTATTTCAATGTACTACTGTCATTTTGTATATTTTATTTTTTAAAGGCCTTCTCGGCTATTTACTAACCCAGATAAAATAGTTTTGTTTTTATTTTCTTTCTTTTTTCTTTCCTTCAAGAGGAGAGTGTTAACACAGTCATTAAAGAGAACAAGTTCTGGAATCAGACTCCCTAGGATCATATTTTACTAGCTTTATAACCTCAAAACAAAAGTAAATTCCTTGTGCCTTAATTTCCTCATTTGTAAAACGGAGATAATTATAACAATAATAATAATTCCAATCTCATAAAGTTATTCTACAGATTAAATGAGATAGCCCACCTGCATAGTTCTTAGCACAATGCCTGCCTGGCACATAGTAAGAACACAATAAAAGTTAACCGCTATTATTATTATTACTACCTAGCTAAATACCAGGCACATAATAATGTGCTAAATTTGTTTAAAAAATAATAATTGCTCTGTATATCAATACCTGATTGTCTTATTACAGTAACAAACATTTCTTGAATAAAACAGCATAAACTGATTATTTCTTGTGGTTTAAAACTCTCCCAAACTTACCAATGTTAGTGGCACTGGCATCGACACTATTTTCTACCAACTCCTTCACGGCAGTGCTTAGACTAAGAACCACTTGCCCAGAACAAATCTGATGGACTGACTTCCGATCGATAGGTTTGATGGCCTTAGCAAGTTCTGAACTAAAGAAACAGGTTACAAGACAGCAAGGAGGCAATTATGCATTTTCATCCTGGTTTTAACTGTGGGAAATGATTCATCTCCGTTAACAGTTAATGCGTCTCATCCATTCATTATATTAACATATCCATTTATTATATTCACAAATATAAATGTTGGTCTACAATCCTTAAACATCTGTCAAAAAGTCTTCTGAATAGATACTTCAAATGAAACAGACATTTAAAATCTAATTAAACTGGGATCTACATGGAGGAGACACATCCCCCTAAGGCTATGGGTGAATAAACTTTTGCAACAATAGGATCTTCTTTCTTGAAAACTGAAAGCAATGTTTCCCACACAATTTGAAAAGCCAAAATTTTGCTGGGAAATCCAGTGTTCATGTCAAAATCAAAACCATCTCAGAAATCGGGTACCAATTGGGTAACTATTCCTATGGTTGCCTACAAATCCCCACTCCAAACCCAGGCTGCCAGCTCCTGCCTTAGCAAAGGCCCTCACAGTTCTGGCTGTACCTACCTTCAGAATTTTCCAACTGGTTTGTCTCCATTTTCTCTCTACTTCAATCAATCTTCCATGCTACCACCAGAGTTACTTTAGAAATCACAAATCTGGTCAAATAATTTTTCTGCTTTAAGAACTTACTAGCAGACTGCCCTTGTGGTGTGGTGGTTAAGAATCCACCTGTCAATGCAGGAGACACGGGTTCGAGCCCTGGTCCGGGAAGATCCCACATGCTGCGCAGCAACTAAGCCCATGCGCCACAACTACTGAGCCTGCGCTCTAGAGCCCACGAGCCACAACTACTGAGCCCACGTGCTGCAACTACTGAAGCCACCACGCCTGGAGCCCCTGCTCCGCAACAAGAAAAGCCACAGCAATGAGAAGCCCGCACACAGCAACAAAGACCCAACGCAGCCAAAAAATAATTATTTAAAAAAGAAAAAAACTTACTAGCATCCCACTGTCTGCTATATTAAGTTTCAAATCTAGTCACAATTGGACCCCAATCTACCTTATTTTCTCTCTCTCTCCAATCCTCCCATTGCCAATTCCCCTACATTCTGGTCACAGCGAACAACTGTTTCCTGAATATCACAAGCTCTTTTAGACACTGCATCATGCCCATACAGGTGTGTAGCCTCCTACTCCTCTGCCTGGCAAACTACCTCTCGTGTACATGTTCACTAATTTAGCAATTTGTAGTAATCGGTTTTATTGATAACTTGGGTGTAAATGAACACAGGAGCATCCCTGGGAGGGAAATCTTTGGGTATTTCCCACAACATATAACACATAATAGACCCTCGGTAAACCCTTGTTAAAAAAAAAAAAAAAAAGAACAAACATCTTTACTCTTATTCGACCTTGCAAAGAATTCCACTCAAATTTGTCTCAAATGGAAAAACTGCAGATGACGCCACTTAAAATGGAATAAAGGGGCTTCCCTGATGGCGCAGTGGTTGAGAGTCCGCCTGCCGATGCAGGGGACACGGGTTCGTGTCCCGGTCCGGGAAGATTCCCACATGCCGCGGAGCGGCTGGGCCCGTGAGCCGTGGCCGGTGGGCCTGCGCGCCCGGAGCCTGTGCTCCGCAACGGGAGAGGCCACAGCGGTGAGAGGCCCGCGTACCGCAAAAAAAAAAAAAAAAAAAAAAGGAATAAAGTATCTCTGAAAAGTTTGTTGATTTGGCAAGACACCATAGGCTACAAGTCTATTCCTGATATTTATTTGAGCGAATCTGGATTCAGGAATCTGACACAATCCAACAGTGCTACCCGAAGATTCGCTACCCCTAATTCGGTGTAGCTGCCGGTAATCGCATACTCGAGATACAGAAGCAATGCGTTTCTTAAAACTGTCCACCTCAAATTAGCATATGTCTTAAAGCCTCCCCGAAAATAACCCTCAATTTTGAAAAAGAAGAGAGAGCAACCAGGTAAAAAGGAAATTAATTCCGTCTACTGGGATTTCAAGCTCCGGCTTCAGGTCCACAGATGCATGGCGGCGTCCGGGCAGCGGACCGAATCCCCCACGGACCCCGACCTCAAAGCGCACCCACAGGGCAGCGGGTTGGGGGAGCGCCGAGGAGCCTGGCCTGGGGCCTCCGTGCGGCCGGCTCGCCCAGCGCCGCGGTCACTTTCCCCTCAGGGGTCTGGAACGCTGTGGGCCTTAGGGCGACCGCGAGTAGAGGCTGCAAGCTCCGCTCACCTCGGCACGTCGGCTTGCTCCATGGATGCAGAGCCTGATCCTGGAATCGGAACAGTTTGCGCCGCCACTCCCACGGTGGGGTGGGGGGAGGGAATCCAGCCACCCTGCCGCCCATTGGCTGCTTCCGACACTGTGTCTCGCCACTTCCGGATAAGGCTACGAACACTTCCCACCTCTCCTTCTCGCTGATTGGTTGTGTCAAAGGTCGAATCCATGACGCCGAATTAGCAGGGGCCAATTAGAGCACAGGAACTGAGCTTTCCCGGACGCCAGCCTCCGGGTCGGAAAGGAGGTGGCCGCAGCCTGTCGTGGACTTGGATGGTTTCTGAGCTTTCGTGTCTCTCACCCGCCACCTTCCCTCCCTTGGGTTCCACAATGCCGATGTACCAGGTAAAGCCCTATCACGAGGGCAGTGGATCTCTCCGTGTAGAGCTTCCCACCTGCATGTACCGGCTCCCCAACGTGCACGGTAGGATCGCCAGCCCCGCGCCAGCAGCGAGCCACGTGCAGGTAGGAGCGCGCGGCCCTTTCCCCGGCCCCGCATCAGCCCAGTGCCAGGCGCCAAGGCTCTAGTCCCACCGCCCGCCCGTCCAGTGCTCAGGCGCCCTGGCTCCACCGCGGCCCCGCCCCGCTGCCCTCTTGTTCAGTGCGCACGCGCTGCCGCCCTGGCCCTCAGTTGGAGGACTAGGGGCAGGGGTTCTTCCAGGCCCGGACCTTGGGACCCGAACTGTCGCGAACAAACCGTGGGGACCAGACCCGATCGCCTACCCCACTCCAGCCTCACGCGCCCGCCGGCCTCCGAACGACCGTAAACTCAACTATTAAAATAGCTATCCATCTGGTATCTTTCTTTCGCTTATGACTACTTAAACTTTTATATGACGAAATTTTACCCACAGAAAAGCGAATAGCACGTAAATGCTCGTTTTGAGGAATTATAAAGCGAATCCCAGTGTCACCACCACTCAAGTTAACACGTTCTCAGCGCCCCACTTAAAACTACCCCCAAAGTTCCCAACTTCCACGGTCATTACGTCCTGCTTTTCTCTCTTATTTTGTCACCTGAGTATGCATCCCTAAACCATGTAGTCTTGGTGTAAGTGGAAGCATGCAGCGTGTGCCCTGCAATGTCTGGCTGCCTCTTCTAGATATGATTTGAAGAATCCCTTTGCTGCCATGAGAGAGCAAAGCGTTCGTCCTCTGCGGCCTGCTGCTCCTTGGCTTGACTGTGCCCCCAGGGCTTTATCCATCCCGCTGCTCACGGGCGTCGGCTGGTTTTGCATTTTAGGCTGTTATGAATTATTCTGCAGAATATTCTTGTACGCGAGCAGGCATAGGGGATATACTAAGGGATGGGATCGCTGGCTCAGTGGGCTGGTCTGTCTTCAACTGGATTAGATTGCTTTCCAAAGCGGTCATCCCGGTTTATGCTCTCACCCGCAGTGTATACGAATTTCTGATGTTGGCACCCTCCCCAAAGCTGGTGGGTGTACAGTGGCATCCTAATGTAATTTAGTTCATATCTCCGAGACCGCTAAATCGGTCGAGCCCCTTTTCATGTTTATTGGGCATTTTGATTTCACCTCTTTTGTAAAGTACCTGCTCAACTTTGACTTTTTTTATTAATTGCAAATACACATTTTAATTTTCCAACTGGAGAGACTTTCTGTCCATTCTGGCTCAAGATGAGTGAATAGATAACGTTCGTGGCTTGTTTTCCCTGTCATCCTTTGTCTTAAGACCTTTCTGCCTCGATTGGAAGGGCGGTGGTTAGTTTAGTTTGAAACCAAATAACACAACTGTTGTCTCACTGTAGAGCTAAGGCAAAAACACAGGCATGGTCCAGTATCTCTTCACCTGGAGATTCCCATGCAGGCATGGTCTGGTGCCCCTCAACTGGACAGGCCCATGGAATCAAAAAGAAAACCCCAGAGTGGGGAGCATAACATCTCTTTTGAGACCAAGTCCCCCTTTCTTTTTTTTTTTTTTTTTTAAGTCTGCTGCCTAACTACTTCCTTTGGGCATTTAACTGTGAACTTGCAACTTAGAAGATGATAACAATGTGGATAGATCATTAGAAATCTAGCATCTCCAGGAGAAATGAGAGCAACACAAAGAATAAAATGCTTCTAAAAAAAAAATGCTTCTAAATCCATGTAAAATAACAAATGGATAAACACAGCACGCTAAGTCACAGTCTCTCCTGAACAAGGAAAACAACAGGCCAGCATTAGAAGGTGTGGTAGGTAAAGCAGAACTTGAGCATCTTGCGTTCCTCAGATCGAGCTATGCTGGGCTCTTATCACAGGCCACATTCCACACGCAGTACTGGGTTCAGTCATCAGTGGAGTGCTGACGGGTTTTGAATACAGTAGGTGCTTCGCCCCTGGTTGGGCAGGGACCCGACTGCCAGTTGTAGAAATGAGCAAAGTTGTACACAAAGAATGCACACATACAGTCTGGATTAAAAGATTGGAAGTATTACTCAGGAAGACTGATACTGAGTAACATGAGGATATCACACAGGTGGCAGCCTTACCAGTCACACATTTTGCACACTTATTTCCAGTCAGCACCACATTGTTTAATTGGCACACTGAACTCTATCCTTCTTTGTCCCACCCAGATGGTAGTCATCTTGCATTTCTCTGCTGTTTGATCTCAAACAAGAGCAGCAGGTGAGGGGAGCTGAGATCATGGAGATCCAGCTCTAGGGTAAATCGGCATTAACCAGCCGAGAGAAGGGGGAGGGGTGTTGCAGACAGAGGGAACCTGATGAGGAAAAGCCCTGTGGCAGGTTTAGGATCCAAAGAACAGCATGGCCAGAGCCCAGAGCCATGGGGAGAATGATGGGAGAGGAGGTAAGCAGAGAACCATTCCTACAAGCTATTTATCAAGCTATTTATCTTAGGCTTTTTAGTCTAAGAGGTTGTTTTGATTTCTGGCTGCCGTCGTAGGGATGGGTGGGGTGGAGGGGTGGGCCAGAATGGATGCAAGGTGACCAGTGGAAGTAGGCCAGGTGAAAAATGGTGTCTTGGACTCAGGCATTGACCATGGAGGCACACTTACAAGTCATTGGATTCCAGAAAATGGACAACAGCTGGTGATGAATTGGCTCTGCAAAGAGGGCAGGCAGTGTTGTGAGTGACAAGGGGAGAAACAAAATGTTCCTTAAACTCACCAGCATACAAATGTGATCAGGCACTCTTCCAACACTCACACTGTATCATGAGTGCATGTTTATATTTTTTAAAATAAATTTATGTATTTTATTTATTTTTGGCTGCGTTGGGTCTTCGTTGCTGCACGCGGGCTTTCTCTAGTTGCAGCGAGCAGGATCTACTCTTCGTTGTGGTGTGCGGGCTTCTCATTGCGGTGGCTTCTCTTCTTGCAGAGCACAGGCCCTAGACACGCAGGCTTCGGTAGTTGTGGCACGCAGGCTCAGTAGTTGTGGCTCACAGGCTCTAGAGTGCAGGCTCAGTAGTTGTGGCACACAGGCTTAGTTGCTCCGCGGCACGTGGGATCTTCCCGGACCAGGGCTCGAACCCGTGTCCCCTGCATTGGCAGGCAGATTCTTAACCACTGTGCCACCAGGGGAGGCCACCAGGGGAGTGCATGTTTATAATAAACTCAAGGTCATTGCTTATTGACCCTTTTGTCTAGTCATGAGCGTCTTACTCATGCTTAACGTGTTCTTTGTTCTCTTGACTCAAATAGATTATCTTTTGTGAGAGCTTGTGAATCTGAAAATAGGTTGCACAGTGTGACTGCTGGGAGGTTTCTTGTTATTGCTTTTTAAAGTAAGTTGGGGGCTTCCCTGGTGGCGCAGTGGTTGGGAGTCCGCCTGCCGATGAAGGGGACACGGGTTCGTGCCCCGGTCCGTGAAGATCCCACATGCCGCGGAGCGGCTGGGCCCGTGAGCCACAACTGCTGAGCCTGTGTGCCACAACTACTGAAGCCCGCGCACCTGGAGCCCTTGCTCCACAACAAGAGAAGCCACCACAGTAAGAAGCCCATGTACCATGGTGAGGAGTAGCCCCTGCTCGCCGCAACTAGAGAAAGCCCCTGCGCGGCAACGAAGACCCAACGCAGCCAAAAATAAATAAATTAAATAAATAAACAAATAATAAAGTAAGTCTGTAGAGATTTGAGATTTATTTCTCAGCAAATATTGGGTTGGCCAAAAAGTTCCGTTACAGAAAAACCCAGACAAACTTTTTGGCCAACCCAATGTTATTAGTTACTTATGGTATACTAGTCCACTGTACCAGGCAAGAAAGATGCAAAGATTCAGTGAATGAAGGATGTGAATATTCCCTCTTTATGAAGTAATACATTTCAGCAGTGAAAAAGTTCTAGATGATTCTAAGATAATGTGAGTGCCAGTATTGCCTAGAAAATGATTTGGGGAATGGATCATTTGACCCCCCCCCCCCCCCGACATACTTCTAAGCCTAAGGACACTCTTCTCTTAACCTGTGTGTGCTCCCTTTTCCCTTCGATTAGTATGATTGATTACATCCTCATCGCCACCCCCAATCTTTTTCTATTCATTTCCGCAAAGTATTTTGAACTAGTTTGATAGAAAGAACAATTTGTGTTCGTTTTCTCTCCTCCTCTGTTCTTAGAGACTAAATCATCTGAAATAGGAGTCCTGCAATTTCTGAGTGGCTTTCAGGCACACCATTATTTGTCTTATAGCATTTGGGGATTGATCTGCAGGACCTATTGGACTGGGGCAAATGAGATGATTCTGCTATCCTCACTTTAATGTCTTCTGAAAGGTGGGAGGTTCGAACTAAGTGGAAGACAAGTGATCAAACAGACTGCTTTGATGTGAGAGGAAGTGAACGTTTTGATGTTGGTCTGTTTAGGAAGAGTCGGACCCATCTCTTCAAGCTCTTGAGTCCCGCCAAGATGATATTTTAAAACGTCTGTATGAATTGAAAGCTGCCGTCGATGGTCTCTCCAAGATGATTCAGACACCAGACGCGGACTTGGATGTAAGCAACATAATCCAAGCTGACGAGCCCGCTGCTTTATCGACCAGTGCATTGGACTTAAATTCCGTGCTTGGAAAGGTGAGTGCATCTAGAAAGCTAAGGAACATCAGCGCGCTAG